CAGAGTTGTATCATATACCTTACGTGGAGACATCAGCCAAGACTAGGCAAGGAGTGGATGATGCTTTTTACACACTAGTCAGGGAGATCAGAAAATATGTGAGTAAACCACTACTCATAGTACTAGTACTTTTTGTCTCTGGCACTCTCAACCTAATAAATAGATTGCCGTAGTTGATTTTTTTAAAATTATTTTTATGTCCACATTTGTTCAGGGCTTCCTCATGTCCTGTAAAGATATTTACAAATTCCATGAGTGGGAAGTACATTTTCTGTCACATGACGTAAACAAAGAAAAGAAAATAAGACTGTGCAACAAAAGAGAATAGATGATAATGTAATAACAAAGAAACTATCTTACATTGTGGACAAGAAAAAAAAAAGAACATGTATTTTTCTAATTAACTGATATTGAGTACAAACAAAAAAGAAAGGAAAGGTACTTTACTAATTAACTTACAATAACTTACATTGTCTACAAACAAAGAATTTCTAATTTTAAAGAGTTTTTAAATTTCAGAAAGAGAAAAAAGGAAAAGATCGCAAGAAACGTAAAATAGGTGGAAAAGGAGGGAAGCTGTCCTGTCGACTTTTGTAATGTACTCAAGATTGCCATTGATATCTAAGTTCATCTGGAGGTGTGTCAGCAGCTGTTTACCTTGAACATGATACCCTAATATTGTTCTCGATTGCTCACTCATCTCTTTTCTCCTCTCCTGACCAGAACTGTTGCCCTAGTTGAAACCACTGAGCTTGATCCCTTGTTGGTCTGAGCTTGATCCCCTGTGTTAGTCTGAGCTTGATCCCCTGTGTTAGTCTGAGCTTGATCCCCTGTGTTAGTCTGAGCGTGATCCCCTGTGTTAGTCTGAGCGTGATCCCCTGTGTTAGTCTGAGCTTGATCCCTGTGTTGGTCTGAGCTTGATCCCCTATGTTAGTCTGAGCTTGATCCCCTGTGTTAGTCTGAGCTTGATCCCTGTGCTGGTGTGAGCTGGATCCCCTGTGTTGGTCTGAGCTTGATCCCCTGTGTTAGTCTGAGCTTGATCCCTGTGCTGGTGTGAGCTCAATCCCCTGTGTTGGTCTGCAAGCTCATTCATCTGATAGTGTTTGGGGTTGTAACTAGGCTGTTTTTGTCTTGTCTGAATTGAGAAGATTAGTGGTTCTAGTAGCATTTTGTCATCTGGCCAGTATATTCTTGTTCAAATTGGTTTGCATTTCCTATAATAGATATGTGTTAGACTTAGAAAGTTTTTTTTTCAAAACAGATTTGCATGTGTTTTTCTTGTTACTTGCAATGGAGATAGAAAAATAAAAAAAGTAAAATGACCCTTTTAAGGGACATTTGTGGGGTTGTTCAGGTTTGTCTCAACTGCCACACATCTGAGGAGCTGTCAAAATAATGGCAATGAGAGAAAGTCTCTAGTTGTTGTGTCAAGGTATTAGATAGTTTTTATCCAAAGCAGCAGCGTCACGTGTTACCTTGTCATGACTTTTTCAGATTGATTCAACTATGAGTTTGTAAAATTTTGTTGTACCATAGCCTAGCGCTTGTACAATGTTTACCCACTGCAGCCATAGCTGTGTAAAATATATAGCCAGGAGCTAATTATAATGGTTTTTCTGTACCAATGATGCAGTCTTGCTATATTCACAATTAGTCTGTGTGTATTAGTATTTTGAATCCACCTTTATTTTTAGGTTTACCGGTATTTTCTTTGTGTTAATATTTCATGATTAAAATTCTGATTGGGGAAAATAAAATAATAGATATAAACAAGAAATGTTTAAATAAAGCATCTTCTGTACAGACATGGATACTTGTACAAATTTTAGCTAAACAATGGGTGTATGAGGATTTGGTTTCACTTTTAATGATAGTCTTATATTGTAGGTCTAGTGATCTAGGACAAATCTAATAGGGCTAGTAATAATAAGTCCTGTCTACGGTCACAATCGGACGAGGCCGGTTGTTGAAAAGTTCAACGCTATGAATAGTGCCTGCTTATATTTAACAGCACTTGATTTGGTTGCAGTGGCGGGTTGTTATTTTTTTGTGGTTGGATTTTGTCAGGTGTTTATAATCTTGTGTGTTTTTAAAGTGATAATCTTGACCTAAATTTTGAAAAGTCCGTAGTTAGACATTTCTTAGTCTGACTTTAATAATCCATTTAAATCATTTTTAATATTAATAGATATTTTTTATGGTTCTTATTCTAGATGTTTAACTCTTTCACCTTGAAAAGATGTTACTGAATGTTGCTTTTAATGTAAATATAAGTCATTGCGTTGTATAATTGGCTCATATATATCTCATGCTGTATTTTCTTATGTGACCAGATATGTCAGCACCATACATTGGTTTTCCAGTGGAAGCCAAATGGTTCATCTACATGGTTTTTATTTTTTCTTTAAATGTATCCCTCTCCCACGTTTTAATGCTTAACTAATAATATGCAAATTTCATTGTGAATATCATCCATTCAGAAGTTTTACACTACCAAAAAAAAATTAATTTTTTTTTTCTAAACTTTTCAAGACCTCCATTACTTTGTGCTGTGCTATAATTTTTTTATGTATACCATTGGTCAGTGTGACCACTTCCTATTGTGTGCCGTTTCCTTTTCTTACCTTTGTGAAGGGAAATATAATTGTTTTGAATGATTATTGCTCTATTTCAGCCAAGCTCAGTCTTTTTCCCTGAGCAGTAAATAGATTCTACTGTATGTATGATGGTTAGCTGGAAATGAGGAATATTCAGTTCATAGAAGAGATTCAGCGTATCTGGAGCATGAACTGTATTTTGTTTGTATAGAAACAGATCTCCCAGGCTTTTTCAAAATTAATATATGGATAATGGCTTTGGTTGGTTTTTTTTATCTTAAAAAGAAATTTAAAAAAAATAAAAACTTAGGAATTTTCTTGTTAAATGAATGAACAATTTAATGATACAAAGATGAGAGCAGGGTCTGCAACCCTTTTTGGAGTGAGGAACCATTTTTATAATTAATATCTGATAAAGATAATATTTTGGGACCAGCAATTTATGATTTGTGAAATAAAAAAGAAGCCCTATCTAGTCCAAAGAGCCATGTGTTACCAAGCTCTATATTTTAAAAAATTAGCTTTCAATATGGAAGTGAATTGTTTCAGTACTTGAAACTTTTTCCTACAATACTTATTTTAGTTGGATATGTTTTGTTTATTGTGACTGTGACATTCTTCATCCCAAATTTATTATTATTTAGAATGTGATTGTAAGTAAGCAATTTTAAGTTTTTATTAGTCATTGAATTTAACCTATTATCTTATATTTGATTGTTTATATATATATATATATATATATATATATATATGATAAATGTGTACAAAATGTTGAATTTCTGCCTTAATTTGGCTTTTTGTTGTTGTGTTCTGATCATTAAGATTTGTTTCGATTTCAAGTGTCTCACTTTGTGCTGACTGAGTATGAATAAATGGACAAGTTAGTTCTTTAAATTCTATATTCAATTTTTTTTTTTGATGTGCTCAACCACATTTAAATTTAAGCCACTAATGCATACAACAGAAAAGAGAAAAATAGATTTTGGAAGTGATTATTGTTGAAAGACATTTCTGCTTGGTTATTTAAAATTAAAGCTTGGGTATGTTATTTTTGTAGAGTCTAGATCTGAAGTAATATTTTAAATTAGTATCAAATCTATTTTGGTCTTTCCATCTATAATAACCTGTACCAGTAAAACTTTTCTTTTATTATTGCTTGTTATTCAGCATTCCCTCACCTTATAAATCATAGGGCTTAATCCCTATGACCTGTTCAAGCCATACTTCTAAATAGGATTTGTTTTCAACATTTAGAGAATGAAAAAGTAGAACAAGGTACCGTACTAGAAGCTTGAATCAAAAGATGGGTAAGATGTGAACACTTCGGCCTCGAGCCTTCTTCAGCAGACAGGACAAATGAAGATACAACAAAATAATTAAGAGATCTCCTTTGTTTTGGAAGTAGGAAAAATCTGATTAAGTAATAAGTATTTGTAAACTTTATGAGCAAATGGACTACTCAGATTTTATAAGCTAGGAACTATAAAAGTGAATAAAAAAATAATTTCGTTCTGATCACATTTTTTTTAACCTGGAAAGAAAACAAAAGTTATTGTTCCTATTTTGTGTTTCTTTCTTCTTTTCTACATCTCAAAAATGAAACTATTTCTCCTAAACAGAATATGTTCTCAGCTTGAAGTCAGCCTATACTTGTACCAACCATATATATAAATTTTGTATTCTTTTAGTACCGGTATCACATAGGCACTCGCTATTATTACATTAGTCCAAAGTTTCTCAAATGCCGAGTCGCGACACAGTACCGAAACAGTACCGGGCCACTAAAGCAAAATTACCGGGTCACTGAAAGAAGAAAAAAATGTTGGAAAACCTAGGTTAGATTATCATGCGTACTCATAAATAAATATTTGCTAAGTTTGATTTCGTTGCAGTCTTGTACGAATAAATGCTTTATTATAATATAGGAAAATGTAAGTATGATACAAATGTAGGTCAAGAAGGAAAAGTATAAAATAACCAGGAAACAAAAGTATGGGAAATGCTGCATTTGTCGAATCTGGTTTTAGTCAAAGCACCTCAGAACCTCTATCATGCTACTTTTTATTACATGTGACCTTTACTACTATGGTTGGTTGGGATGCTTAGCCTACAATGTATTTAAGTTCTCCCATATTAACAACACATACTCTGAAATCAAGTTTCTTATGCCGGCCATCGGGAGCTATTCATAATAATGTCTTTCTTGACCACCAAGTCATATGATTTGTCACATGCTGATAACAACTATCTCTCTATGTTCCAGAGTTATGATACAGCTAAACATAATCTACAGTAAAAAGAAATGTGGAATAAAAGATACAATAAATTTGTTCATTTTATATTAAAAGATGTCATAACATTGATCATAATTTATTGTCTTTTATACATAAAATTTATATGATGCTCTAAATGAGTGGATACTGTTAGTCACATTAAACTCATAACATTAAAAAAAAAAACAATCCTATACCTCTTTCACATTTGTTTGAGTTAATAATTTATTACATTCTGATATTGCTACCGATATCTGAAAAGCTTCATCCAAACAAGAGTTCACAAATTTTGAAGGTAAAAAAAATTAAAGATAAGATTTACAGGCTTAGTATTTTATTTTTCACAATAATATAAAATACATTATTCATCATCCACACATTTCAATAAATCAAACTTGCATACCTTACTATGAGTGCATACATTAATAACACACCCCAAACCCCCCCCCCCAAAAAAAAATTAAAGATAAGATTTACAGGCTTATTATTTTATTTTTCACAATAATATAAAATACATTATTCATCATCCACACATTTCAATAAATCAAACTTGCATACCTTACTATGAGTGCATACATTAATAACACACCCCAAACCCCCCCCCCCACTCCCATTATTTGCTAGTTTATTTTAACTCCTCAATCTTCTTTCTTATGGCAGCTTGACGCAACTCTTTGGCCCTATCCTCTTTTTCAACTTCTTTCTTGACCTTCTGCCACTTTTGTACCATCGATGTCATATGTTTTTTCTTCATCATTATACTTGAGCCAGTTGCCAAGGTTTTCTGGAAAAGGCAAAAAGTTAAAAAGAGTTTCTGTGTTAGGTGGGGAGCACAAAAATGTCTCACTTCTACTGCACAATAATGTTAAGGGTTTAACTCCTAACTGAGTTGATTTTAAAAAGATATGATAGAAGAATAAAAAGATATAACTTTATATAAAAGAATTATAAAGTATTTATTGTAAAATCATGTCCTTTGTGGTAGTTTATTTTAGTTCTTCTTCTTCTTCTATATATTAATTAATTAATTGATCATTTTAGCTCCTATGCATGTGGAGGGGATTTGTAATGTTTCTGTGCATGGTGTTGATGAGGATATTTCACTGGTTGCAAGGGCTACTTTGTGAGGGTATCTTGCACTGGGGTGTTGGAAGACCTGAGGCAGTAGATGCAAATGTGTCAAGTGTTGTCTCAACTGTTCCTTTTGAAATCTTGTTCCAGTCCCTGATTGTCTTTGGCAGGAATTAGCAGTATACTATACTGGCTTCTTGCTGGTATGAGCCGGAATTGCCTGTCATGGCCTTGTCGCTGTCTGTGGGGGAGAGGGACGAGTTTCTGTTTAATGTTAGAGCAGTGGACCAGGCCATTCTTTATCTTGTACATTATGGAGAGCCTGGATAGTCGTCATCGTTCCTTCAATGATGACCAGCCTAGTGTTTCCAGCATGCTGCCAACACTAGAGGTATTCCTGTAGCGGTTCAGGACAAAGCATGTTGCCCGTCGCTGAACTGTCTCCAACCTGTCGATGCTCTTCTGGGTAAATGGGTACCAGACTGAAGATGCATTATCTAAAAGCGGACAGACAAAGGCTTTATAGGCTCTTTCTTTCACACAAGAGTTGCCAATCTTTAGAGTACGCCTCAAGAACCCCAGGGTCTCTTTTGCCTGGTTGCACACATTGTTAACTCATTCCCTCCTGCAGTGCTCTTCCTTACTTAATTTATTTTCCTGAGAGAAGGGAAGCAACTCAATTTTGAAATTGATTTACATTTTAAAAATATTTTTTAAAGCTGCTAAATATTAATAAATTTTAATGAATTAAGGGCGAGTGCATCAAAAAATGAATAAGGTTTAATAAAAATGTAACATTACTGGCAAAAAAATAATGAACAATGGCCAAAAAATCGATAACACTAAAGCACACATGGTTTTAAAGTGAAACAAGATAAAAACTTCCGTTTTTTAAAATTAAAATCACGCCATAGCCAGAAGTCTCGAGGGATGAGAGATTTCATTGTTATTTTAGCTAAAAATAAGATTTTTTTTGGACGCATCCGTCGAAACCCCCCAAAGGACGCATTTAGTCACAACCGCCGGGAATGAGTTAATATGCTCGTCCCAGCTGACCTCTCTTTGAATGGTAACACCCAGGTACTTTACGAAGGAAACTGGCTCAAGTATATGGCCATACAGTTCGTATTGGTAGTGTAGAGGAGTACAACTTCTAGAGACTGACAGTGTCTGGCACTTGGCAGGATGAAATTCCATGTCCCAGCTCATCTCTCACTCGGCTAACCGAATGAGATCCTGTTGTAGCTGGTCCTAGTCAGATCTGTTGGCGATCATCCTTACACCGCTGTGTCATCTGCGAACAGTCTTGGTTGGGATGTCAGTTTCTCGGGTAGGTCATTAATGTATGCTAGGAACAAAGCGGGGCCTAACACTGATTCCTGGGGGACCCCTGACTTCACACGGACTAAAGAGGAACTTGTACCATCCACCACCACTGCTTGGCATCGGTTGCTGAGGAAGCTAGAGATCCATGTTATAGTAGTGCCTTGGATCCCATATCTTTGAAGTTTGTGTAGAAGCAAACTATGATTGACACGGTCTAATGCCTTTGAGAAGTCCATCACCAGCACGTCAGTTTGCTTGCTGTTCTCCAGAAGAAGTAAGTGTACAAACATATAGCCCATTCAACTATCTTTCATTTGATAACTCATTTTGTCATACAAACCCAATAATAATATTTTAAACAGTTTTTTACTCCCAACCTCTCACTTCTGGTATCCGGGTGGGAATAGCCACTTCGTATTTACATATGGCTTTATTTCCATTATTAGAATTATTATTCCCATAAAGCAATTAAACAATTTATGAATTTCAATACACTCCAAAGTGTTATTGAATTATATTATTATTGTAAGATAATTTCTACACTTTTAATTATTGTTTATATCTCCATCATGTTGGTGAAATAAAAAACTTGATATAAATTGATTGTAAATAAAAACAATGTTTGGGGATATTGAATAAATTGTGTATCACTTACAAATAGAAAAAAAATTAATGTAAGAAAAAAGATAACTGCTCAAATGCCACTGCTCTCTAAAGACTTGCATCAAGACCCAATGAAATAAAATTTTATAAATAATACTACCTTCTCTTTCTTTTTCTTTTTGGTTTGCTTGTCAGATTCATTACTGCCTTCAACTGATTCACAGGCAGATTCAATCATGGACTGTGTAAGAGAAGGTGCTGGTTGAGATGCATACTGGGTGGGTTGCGATGATGTCACTATTTGTTGCAAGGGGAATTCAGCTGAGGCTAAAAATGGGTCAGACTGTAGAAAGTAATAACAAAATTTGATTAAAATAAACCATGTTGTTTCAGATACCATACTTCTTTACTCTTTGATGGAATCAAAATAGCAAATGTAGTTCAAAATCACCTGGCAGTCTAAGCAATTGGAAGAAAAAATTTTTTTTATAAAAATTTGATTGACTGACCAATGGTGTAGCGGAAACCTGTGGTAGGACAATCTGCGGTGGTTTAGAGATCACAGCTGTGCTCGACATGCTTAAGGGATTGTCCTCCCTTGAATAAATATCTTGTGTGATGGCATCAGAAATGCCATCTACGTTGTATGAAAAATCTTCCACAGTTGTTTCATCAGCACTTTCTTCCATATCCTGCATGGTAGTAGCATCATCTGTGTAACCCTCAGGAGGGGGCGGCGGTGTGGAAAAAGCCACTTGGATGTGTGGTGAGGATGCAACAGTAGTTTCAAAATTGGTTGCTGGTGGAGCTGGAGTCGAGTTTTCAAGCTGCCGGATTAAATATTTTAAATCTTAATTCCCCCTAAGTGAAGTGGTGGGGTAAAGTGAAAACTTTAAAATAAATATTTTTTTACAAGTTTCCTAACTTCAACATGCCAATGGCAACAAATAGTGGAAAATCATGCGAAGTTTTATGCTATTTTCAAATATAAAAACAGAGGGCCAAAGTCCTGTTTAAAAATAGACAACAGAAAACCCAATAAACAACTCATCATTCAAAAAGTGACCAACCTTAAGAATTTCAACACTGTCTTCAACAATTTCAACGCTTGGAGACCTCTCAGAGCGATGTCTTTTCTTCTTCTTGCTTTTGTGATGATGTCGATCTTGCCGGCTCTCCTCACTGCTCTCACTACTACTGCTGTGGTCTCGTCTCCTTCTACGCTTTCTACGATAACGATGGGATGAGCTGCGTTTGTCATATTTGCCTGCAATAGAAAAGCAATGCACGTTTCTGATCCTTCAAATAGATTTTCTATGGCTGAACGCTAACATACTTTATTGCATAAAAGTCCTAGTCACATGCAGTAATTAAACCCATTTGCCTGCTAATTTTTAAAAATTAATATTATTATCATTTATATAAATGTAAAATATGTAATCCCAATGCTCTCAGAAAGATTATAAAGTTTTAACATTACTTACTTCTTTCCTTTTCATCTCTCTTTCTGTGTCGGCTGCTACGACTATTCCGTTGCTTACGTTGTTCATCAGTTTCAACTACATTTTCACGCACTTTGGCTGAAACAACTTCAGTCTCTGTAGCAGCCGTTTTCTCCCCAGCTTTGTCTCCTCCTTCCACCTCTGGGTATTCCCACTGTATTCGATTAGTGGTTTTGTTCCTGTAGTAGTAACGGTTGTTGGCCCTAGCCAGCAAGAAAGAGAAACAAAAATAAAGGGTTATTTCTGAGGTAAAACATAGTACCAAGCTGCTAGGGAAGAGTTAACAATTTATAAAAAGTGACACACTCCTCTCACAAACGTAGACAGAGTTGGAAAGAAATCATTTGCCTTAACTTTGATTTCCCTACTCTCATGTTTCCTGCTCTATTTTTGATTTTGCCATGGAGAAGTTGTCAACTAAACAGAGTTAAGATGCACTGATGTGTTCTCTGAATTTACAAAAAAAAAAACATAAATTTTTGAACAGGCTGCCAAGAATCCAATATTTTTTTTTTTAAACTTTATTGGTAGGCCAGATAGTTTTTAAATAATTCTTGTGTTCTTTGCACAAACTCACAAAAACAACAAAAACAGAAAAATACTTTAAAAAAAAAATTATATCAATGTCTGTATTTTTCATTTCATCCTTTAGTTAAAGGGCAATAAACTATTGTCTCATAAAAACTATACAAATTTCTGCAAATCTTTTCAGTTTTCAGACCAAAAAAATAGTAATAAAAATTTTAAAAAATAATAGGATAAAATAGTGGGTGTGTTCTCAATATTGTCAACTAAAAGAATTGAGTATCTCGCTGCATCAGCTTGGTCACTCAGCAAACAAGAGTTACAAGACAAAACAATGGGCAATTTTCCCATTCAAATTTTGAATTCAAGAAAGAAAAGGTTATTCTAACAATTAAAGGCTAGAAAATGTTAGGTCAAACACAGCACTCCCAAGGTGGTCAGAGCTATCTGTGGCCTGGTAGCCTGCGGACATCACCTGAAATACAGTTGATCTGACAACATCATTAAAAACAAAAAAACAATTTTGGATTAGCTTAGCACCAATCACAGAAAAATATCCTAAGCTATTTAAACTTTCTTTTGCCAAAGAAAGATCTCTGTTTTTTACAATAATGTTTAATTCCTTGAAAATTGTTAAAATTGAATTGTGGAAATAAATGAAGTTTCATCATAAAACTATGCTAACCCATGCTAAAGGGACACGGGTACGCATAGCCACTATTCGGACCCGAGTCCTTTTAGACTAAATCCCATTCGGATGTCATTTGTGGTAGTTTATTTTAGTTAAACTGAAGAAGTAAGTTAAAGACATACAGTCCATTCAATTATCTTTCATTTGATACCTCATTTTGTCTTACAAACCTAACAATAATATTTTAAATAGTTTTTTAATCCCAACCTCTCACTTATTATACCCGGGTGGGCATATTCGCTGCCTTATTTAATAGTCCCTTTAAAAAGTCCCTTTTCAAGTAATAAAATGTAATATTTCATTTTCTTTTTTTCAATGCTTTTTCTTTAAATTTGGTTGTTTTTCAATTGTTTGTCAGCCAAAATCAGCAGACATTGTTTCTTTTATAACTCAAAGTAATCAGCCAAGTTGTTTACAGACTAGACAAGCAAATAACACATCATTTTTTCAGTTGTAAAATGGACTCTGTATGTATTATTGTAAAACTGTAATCAATAGTTATTTTTGTGTAAGGACTTGGGCAACACTAAAACAATTTAGAAGAGTTAAATTAACTACCAAATGACATCAACCTTTCTTATACACTTTTTTAAAGAAGGTTAGCATGTTTTTCTCATGTGCTCTACTTATTAATAACACCACTTAAATGTTTTAAGAAAACTTTATGAATTACCCTGTACTAATTTATCAAAATTACATCACAGTAAGACTTAAAAAAAATAATTTAGAAATATGGTAACTAAGCAGCAAATTGGTGGTGATTATAGCTAGGAAGATAGATTTCTGCTAGGTTAATTTTTTAAATTAAAACTTGAGTATTTTATTTTTGTAGATTCTGGACCAGAAGTAATATTTTAAATTGGTATCAAATCTATCTCGGTCTTTCCATCTATAAAAACTGTACCAGTAAAACCTTTCGTTTATTATTGTTTGTTATTCAGTATTCCCTCACCTTATAAATCATAGGGCTTAATCCCTATGACTCTTTAGAACATAATTTCTAAGCCATATTTCAACTATACCCATTGAAATTTCTTCATTTAGCTTCTTTTAAGTATAAAAAATTATTTGCAGTTGCCTTACAAATCCAGCTACAGTTGATTAATTTTAGAAAGTTAATATAGAAGTTATTAAGATTATTTGGGGGCTCTCCACAAAACAGTATCTATGACAACTATGATGTCAATTCATTTACATTATCTTAGTTGATTGTGCAACTCAATACTGCACCTGATTGAAATTTAAATTTAAAAATTCAAATTTCTGGAAGCCTTCAAAACAAAGATTTCATTTTAAATAATCCACACAAAAAACAAGTCTACTTCTTAACAAAACCAAGTTTACTTCCTAACTAAACAAATTCTATCTCCAACCTAAACCAATTTTACTTTTTAAGAAAAATCAAATCAGCTTCACGGTAAAGTCAAGTTTGCTTTAAATATACACAAATTTTAATGGGAGAAAAAATTACAAAACAGTGATTTATAAAATTAACTTGAACAATAAATGATAAGCAAGCACTTACTTTGGGTAGATTTACTTTCACCTTCAATCAAAAGATGGCTGAAAAGGCTTGTGGCTCCAGAATCTTTGACCCCTGGCAGACTCCAGCTTCACCAAGAATTGTTGCCTTTGTTTTATTCAGTCAAGTATGGCATGACATTATCAAGTAAATGTTTGTCACTTATTGTTTAAGGCAAAGGCACAGTGAACCCAGTACTACACTTTTATTAGATTAAAGCACTGCATGATGGACCTGCTACTGTTAATGAAAAGATGTATGGGCCTATTTGAATGGAACGTTTTTTTTTCAAAGTTTGTAATCACAAGTATGTGAAAATGTTTGCACTGATTTAATTGTATGACATCTCTTTCATGATTTGATTGTTTCTCTCTATAATTTGATCGTTGTAATTAAGCATGAAGAATTTTTTTCCATCACTTTTTAATAGTTTTTCCATTTGAAATCATCGCAACGGAATACTTAAATGAATGGTTTTAAGTGGCCTCATTGGATTTTAAGCAAAATTTAAAAAACACAAGAATATTTCTTGGGAAAAAAAAAAAGTAATGTGTTAAAAAAATGTCTGTGTTTTGGGAGCTAGGTCCATACATGCTAATTTGTGTAGTAAAATTGAAGGAATGACTAGGGCGCCATACCTGTCCCATTGGCAGGCCCATCCCTCAGGTACAGCACTCAGTTCATATTGCTCTAAAAGGCCTTCAGCAACCTTCAACTGTTGGTAAAAGTACTCTATGGATAGTCCACCAGCAATCCAATCTGTGTGCCTCGTCTGCACAAGGAAATCATTTTTAAAAAATGACATTATGACATTTTAAAGTGAAAAATTTAAACATTTGTTAACCATGATCTTTTAATGCCATTTATTCTAAAACATTATGGTCAATTATAAACTTTCACCAGATGTACAATTCATAACAATCAGGTAGTGCTTGTATAATTTCAAGAAAAATAATAAATCATTACTGTATATACTTGTTTATAAGTCGAGAAATTTCAGTCGTAAACTTCATTTTTAAACAATAGTTTCTATAAAATTTTTAACAGTACGTTGAATAAGGGGCAATGTCGAGTTACTGGTAAAGCTATAGTACTTACCAGTAACTTTTTTCAGACATATTATTAATATGTACCCGGTAGCCTGAATAGTGTTAATTTATGGAGATTTAGATACAAGCATGTAGAGTGATGAGTTAATCATACACCAGTCATAGGTTAGTATACAGTGTAGCGATTGCTGCTGGGTAAAAGCTGACAAAATTATTAAAATCACAGGATTTCATAGCCCAAAGTTTTAACCTTGACTTCTACATGAGTCATAGCATATTTCGTAAGTTTTGGTCAAAAACTGCCCTTGGCTTTTAGATGAGATCGACCTATAAACAAGTATATACAGTAAGAGTTTTTTTTTTTATTTTAATTATTAAAAATTTAATGAAACGAAGTTAACAATTTTAACTTACCTGTAACTCTATAAATAACACTTGCAAGCGAGATAAGTTTTCTGTGGAGATGTCCAGAAATTCTAATTTGTTCAAGGCAAGCTCAGCAACATTTTTCACTTCTTCCTAAAATAATTGAACAAGAAACAAAACATTCGTTCATATTAAATATTCTAAACATGGAAATCTCCCAGCTATTTTAATTGATCCCCATTTTTTAAAGTTCTTAAACTATAAATTTTAAAATATATTATTATTTTTTAAAGTCTAAATGGAATATCACAAAAGACAAAGGCAATTTAAAACTTTCTGTAACAAGGATTTCTACAGCAGATGAATGTTATTAATGAAAATTACCATTAGATGTCCCACATCTGGTCATGTATTTTAAACACTTTGTCTTACAGGGTACCCAGTACCAGAGAGATGAGTTCATTGATCTCAGAATAGCAAGGATTTAAACTAGATTGTTTGGTTTACATGCAATAGGCAATGATTTCCAAGCCAAATATATTTTTAAAATACAAAAACTTACATTAAATAACAAAGCAATGGATTATTTGTAGATGTAAAATTTGGGAAATTAACAAGGTTAAGATAACTGTAAAATCATGCAATTCTGTTCTTAATAATCTTTCCGCTAATATAATCCCATGGTAGAACTAAAAGTTGCAATCAAAGTCATGACCAATAGGAATGGGTCTTGGAGTACATTCCCATTGTTGTACACCCGGATACAACATTGCAGCCGAGTCTGTTTTAAAAAAAATAATTTTATAGTTTTTTCTGTTGTTTGTTTACCAAAGAAGGCTTCTTGCCGACATGTGCATTGTTTTGTAGGCCCTTTTTTCAGGTTTATCCATGCTTTGTAATGCTCATTTACATTATGAAATGTAGCAGTGTTATTTTTATAGACTTAAATATTTAGACACCCACACCCCTTTTCCTGTACACAAAAGCCCCTAAATCCACACCATCCCTTTCCTCTGTCAGGGCAAACTTATAATAATTATAGATGGTCCCCAACCAATAGTATTTCTTGATCCATTTGTCACGGTCAGATCGCGTGAGCTTTTCTGTGTCCACTTTTATAATGTTAATTTGACCAATCGTGGGTGAGTTTATTTTCCCCGTGTGCCCCACGAGTTTTTATTTTTCTCGGTCAAGGTATGACCGGTGTGCTGTGTCGGGGAAAACCACGTGTGTGAGTGAGTTTTGAAGGAGTGAACAGTGGCGAGTGCTGTGGATAGGGTGTATGATTTCTGTCTTGTGAAAGGCAGTGAGTTTTTCTACGGATGGAAGAGGACTTGTGTAACTTTAACTGTTTTGTGTAGTGGTATATAGGCACACATAGCCAATAAATAAGAAAATCTGAATCCCTGAATTGTTTGTTGATACTTGGAACAAGAGTCAGCTCTGTAGGAGCTGGAAATAAAGGGGTTCTAGACCCTTGTAAAATTGTTCTGTGGCTAGTACAGAGGGGACCGACCCCTAGACAACGTACGTCACGTCACAGTGGGGGCCCGTCCGGGATGCCATATCATCCAAGTCTACCATCCACCACAGTGGAGCAACCATCCACCACAGTGGAGCAACCTTCCAAGTCTACCAATAATCCACAGAGGATTAACCATACAAGTCTACCATTCGCCATCGTCGCGGCACATCAAAGCAACCATCCAAGTCTACCATCCACCTCAGTGGAACAACCATCCAAGTCTACCAACCATCCACAGTGGATTAACCATACAAATCTACCATTCGCCATCGTTGAGGAACATCAAAGCAACAATCCCAGCCCACCACCAGCCACGGGGAAGGCTGTCGAACCAGCTATTTCAACCATAATCATCCATCACAGTGGAGTAACCATCTAAACCTATCATTCGCCGTCGTTGCGGCACATCAAGGCAACCATCCAAGCCTACAATCAGCAACAGGGGAGGCCGTTCGATGCAGCCCTAATCATCCACCACAGTGGAGCAGCCATCTAAGCCTGCAATTTGCCACCGTGAGAGCACGATCCAACCATGCCAGCTCATCATTTGATATGTGGTTCAACTGTCAGCTAAGTCCAAACAAACCATAGCAGACCATACTGCACAGTGGAGGCCGTTAAAGCAACATCATATCGTCCAAAGAACCCTACCAGCCTACCATTCATCACAGAGAGGGCCTGACCAACCAGCCACACCAGCTAGTCAAAACAATCATCACGGCCATACAAATCCAGAGGAAAGCCGTGCAAACCAACCATACAGCTATACCAACCCTAACTTTTATTGACATTGGATTTTTGGAGACACCAGACATTCCAACCCTATCTACTTACGAGAATACAAATGAACACATGGATTATACTTCTCAATACGTCCGAAATCCCAGTGCCACCCATCAAGAGAACCATCACAAGTAATTATTTTAAGTACATTATTTAGTAATTAGATTTGCAATTTCTATTGTTTTATTACTCATTTCATTTGATCCATTTCCTATTTGTAATTTTTTTTGTAAACATATATATTGAAATAAGACTTAAATATAAAAATGTCGTTACCTACTATGGCCGAAATTAAACAAATGGCAATAGATTTGGGATTAGAAGGGGAGGAAGCGAAAGAATGGATAGCTAAGAGGGAACAAGAGGTTCGCGAAGTAGAAGAAGAAATTCGCGCATATGAGCGAGAAGAAAAAGAAAGAATCAAAGAACATGAGAGAAAAATGTCTGGATATAGTTCTAGTACACTAACTGGTACTGAAAGGGGACAATTTTCTCTGGGTGATAAGGAAAATGAGGGTAATATACAGGGAGACATGGCCTTTAGTGTAAAACCGATTGTGGATCAACAGGGACAAGACAGTTTGAAGGTGGGAGTAGACATACGCCAGAAAGAGAAATCTATGCGGGAAATCAGAGAAGAATGTGTCAGATGGATATATGGTTATAGTCCACCAGAATCTGTGGTGAGAAAAATTTATGAACAATTAAGTTCTAACAAACCATTTGACCTAAACACCTTTAAGAAATATAAAATTACTAATGAAGAACATAGTCACGTGACTAAAGATCCTGACATAACGTCGAATTGTTTGGACGAGGGTCCAAGCATTACTCAAAGTAAAGTTGATGAGAAGGCTTTTAAAGAAATCAAGCGGGAGGGGGCCTTTAGAAATAGTTATGGGAAATATAGAGCGAGGAAATATACTAAGGTAGAAGTTAGTGGGAATGAGCTTAGATGGTGTCGAGAGAACAAATCTTGGGTAAGTCTGTCAGAAACTAAAAATCCAAATGTAGAAAGGGGCAGTATATATACTAGGAAAAATGATGAATCGGAATTTTTTCAGTTTGGTAAAGTTGATGAATATTTTGAAGACAACGAAACAAGAGAAAATAAGTTGGATAATGTGGATAAACAGGACGAAGGTGATGTGCAGGATGGCTATCGCCCTTGCACCAGTAGTGAACCTAGTGGTATTGATGTTTCATTTGGGGACTTTGATAATAATATTGATTATGAGCACAGCGTTGTTGATGCTTGGGATGATTGTTTTGATTGGGATATTAATTATGAACCCAGTGTAGATGGTTCAGATGGAAATTTTGATAAAAATATTGATAATGAACTTAGTGTTGTTGATTCTTCTAGTAATGGTTTTGATTGTGATATGACTTATGAACCCAAAGTAGATGATTTTAATGATATTTTTTATTTTGAGCCTAGTATTGATGTTCCACATATTGATGTTGATAGAGTGACTGAGGTTTGTAGTTTGTTTGATGGTGATATTGATTATGAACCTAGAGAAGTTGTTTGTGATAAGAATATTGTTTATGAACAAGGTGTTACGGATACTTTACTTATTGATGTTGAGAGAGTGACTGAGGTTTGTAGGGTGCCAGAGGCTTTTGATGGCACACTCATGGCTTTTGATAACACACCCACGGCTGTTGAAGGCATAAACCACCTTCCGCTTCCACGCAAGCAAGGGGTCATGATCACAAGCATGAACCACCTTCCACTTCCATGCAAGCAAGGGGTCATGATCACAAGCATGAACCACCTTCCGCTTCCACGCAAGCAAGGGGTCATGATCACAAGCATGAACCACCTTCCGCTTCCATGCAATCAAGGGGTCATGATCATATGGGGGACAAGCTGGGGTAACCACGAAGTAGAGACCGTAACCTTGACCAGGACAGCGGCCACTAGATGTTGTCAGGGTGAACCTTCGACAGAGTTCACCGACACTCCTGAGACAAGCTCATGTGTGTTGTTATGTTTTGAGGAGGAGGGTAAATCGCAGTTTTTGGCTGCTAGTGAGTTTAACTCAGTTATTTTTGAACATGTCACAGTTCACAGAGACTGTGAAGTGTTTCTACCCCGAGACGATGGGAAAATTGAGTTGAATAAATTTGACACGTCTAACAATGTAACACGTGTTTTGCTTTTCAACAATGATGGTATTTGTTACAAAGGAGAAGGGACAGCTTGGGGGGAAGCCAAACGGTCTTGGGGTATAAAAGACTTGTTGGGTGAATTCATGCCTATTAGACCGTGCAGGTCAAACCCGAGAAGAGAGAGGGGTGAGTTGGGCGGATCAAATAACCTCCATGATTTTTTAAGACAAGGGGATAAGCGAAACATTCCACCGTCTTGTATGTAAACATTGAAGGGACAATTCATGGCTGTCCACACATGCTCAGATGTTGACATTTGTTTTTCTTCACTTTTTCATTTTTGAATTAAGATTTTTCAAAATCATGTGCTGTAAACATTTAAATATTTGTTACAATGTATTAAAATAAATGCTCAATTTGATTGTAGGAAAATATTGAGATGATAAACATGTGCTGTAAACATTTAACTATTTGTGACAATGTATTAAAATAAATGCTCAATTTCATTGTAGGAAAATATTGAGATGATAAAGAATAGTAATTATTTAATCTATTACCATGTATGTTTCAATAGAGATGTCTTAATTCTACAATGCATTGCCATAACAATAGTAGTGACTTTCAAAGTATGATTGATAGCGCAGTGTTTTAAGATAGACCTTTCATGAGAAAATTTACTAAAATATCTATGTTTTATGCTATAAATATTGATGTCAGTTTACCAGAATATGCACGCGAACTGACCGCTGTTTTTGTAAACTCGCAACATTGGGTTTCACCAAACGTCACTCGTGAGGGGGGCTTGTCACGGTCAGATCGCGTGAGCTTTTCTGTGTAATTTGACCAATCGTGGGTGAGTTTATTTTCCCCGTGTGCCCCACGAGTTTTTATTTTTCTCTGTCAAGGTATGACCGGTGTGCTATGTCTGAAAAAACCACGTGTGTGAGTTGTTTTTTTTTTGAAGGAGTGAACAGTGGCGAGTGCTGTGGATAGGGTGTATGATTTCTGTCTTGTGAAAGGCAGTGAGTTTTTCTACGGATGGAAGAGGACTTGTGTAACTTTAACTGTTTTGTGTAGTGGTATATAGGCACACATAGCCAATAAATAAGAAAATCTGAATCCCTGAATTGTTTGTTGATACTTGGAACAAGAGTCAGCTCTGTAGGAGCTGGAAATAAAGGGGTTCTAGACCCTTGTAAAATTGTTCTGTGGCTAGTACAGAGGGGACCGACCCCTAGACAACGTACGTCACGTCACACCATTTACCGCTGGATGTAGAAGTAGAAAGGAGCTAAATGTACCAGTACTTTTTATATATTTTTTTAAATAAGAAGACTACCCGAGTGTATATATTTTCAACCCGCTCTCTTAAAATCATAGTTCTGATAGGTCTTGGTGTAAAATCATAAGAGTAAACAGGTCTGACTCTTGTCCACCGATTAAAAAAAATATTGCAATCACAGATTTTTCCAAAGATATATTTCATTTCTAATTTTTAATGTTTTGTATCTTTTAAAGCTTTTCATCTTTTCCTTGTTTTTTTTAAATATTTTTTTACAGAGACATTTCATAGGCTGAAAAATCTTTGGTAAATTTTGTGCACTTACTTTGAATTTGTCATCATCTGGCAGTACTGTTCCTAATGGACCCGATTCTGTTGTGGCCATTTTGTCACAATTTGAAATATTCATATCACTTTCAAGGCTTAAAGAAACTGAAAAGTTAAATGTTTATACCAGTGGGTCAAATGAGCCATTAAGTTGGTTTTTTTTTTTAAATGTCAGTATTTCAAAACGGTAACTTTTCAATGTTTCATTTTCCTAAAAATCTTAAACCTCTCTTCTGTTTAAGTTACCAATAGATAATTCAACAAGTCTTTATTTACCACTTTCAGCTGTTTCAGGGAGGGAATGGGCTGTGTTCTGTTCTTCTGGGGGGGGCATTTTCTCATCATCTCCATCCTCATACTTGCTTAGCTCCACCTGCTCATGACATATTTATACACTATATAGATAAGAGCTGAACACAAATAAGTAAATAAGGTCGATACTTATGGGATAAGATCAATATTGAATCTATGGAATAAATTAAAGCTGTAACAGGCAAACCTAAAACCCCATGGCATTAATTTAAATGAAAATGTTCACTCGTTGGAATTTTTCAATTTTCAATTCATCTAGTCAAGTAAAAATCATTTTTTTATGGTTCACCGGAAATTCAAATAATTTATTTTTATTACCTTTTTTTGCTCAAGTTTCTTCTCCAAGGCAACTTCCAATGCCCTATCAATATCATCAAGATCATCAAAATCAATTTCCCCAACATCATCAACGGCAGGCTTTGTTTCACTGGACTCAAGAGCCGGGCTGCTCACAATACACTCTGTTTTAGCGGTCAGCTCAGATATAACGTGCCCGGAAGTCTTACCGATCGCCTTTAATGGAAGATCTGATATTGTGTCACTGGGAATTTTACAGACAGTTTTAGAAACAATATCTGAAATGGCTTGATCCAGCGTATCAGAGACCTTTGAAATAATTTCTTTATCAAGTTTGCCATCAAACAGAGTTTGATAACTTGGTTGGTCAGACTTTTTATCTTTGCTGCGTCGTCTTGAATCTTTTTTTTTGTCCTTCTTCTTTTTCTTTGATGAGCTTTTAACTTCCTCATGTTTTTTTTTTTCTTTCACTTCTTCTTCCTCCTTTTCATCAAACACTTCTCCTTCTTCCCCATCGTCCCCATCACTCATGTAGCCAACAATATTTATGACTTTCCTTCTGTCAGAATCCATTTTGTCTTTCTCTTTCGATACTTGAGTGTCCTTTTCCCTATCTTTAATTTGAGAAGATGTGTGACTGTCCCTGGAGGAATGACTGTCTTTATCTCTATGGTTATGACTGTCTTTATCTCTATGGTTATGACTGTCTTTATCTCTATGGTTATGAGTAACTTTTTCTCTGGAAGGATGGGTGTTGTTCTCCCTGGAGGTGCGAGTGTCTTTAGAGCGTTTGGTAAGAGACTCTTTTTCTTTGACACCATGAGACTGATGAGAAGACTTATCTGCCTTGACCTTTGTGCCATGAGCAGTTTTGACAGACTCTGCTATTTCTCCTTCCTCCATAGCTTCATCTTTAGTTATGTTGTTTAAATTGACTGGCTTTGAAACAACTTGAGCGGTTTTTCCTTTCTTCAAACTGTATTTATCATCTTTAAGCTGCATTCTTGCCTTAATTTTCTCAGTGGTTGGACATTTATCTACTGCTTCCATTACCTTATCTTTGCTCCTTTCTTTATTACGAACATCTTTGGACACAGTTTCTGATGCCATCTTTAAATCCAAGGTTTGCAAACTTTCATTTGACTGGGATTTTTTAACAGGAGCATCTTCAGCAAACATATCAATAACTTCTCTTGTTTCTGGTTTAATTTTTTTCACCACAGTTTTCTCCAATTCCGGAGACTCCAAATTTTTAAGATCCTCCATCTTTGTTTGCTCTTGTCCCAAACCGACAAGTTCTGTAACCCCTTCTACATTATCTGCCACGGGACTCTCATTTACAGAAACACTAATTATGTCTCCGCTACTTGCCGATCTAACTATGCTCTCATCTGCAACTTCCTGAATGATACTTCCAACAACGAGATCACCAGCTTTATATTTGTCATCCTCATGGCACGTCGGTTCATTTGAATCCTTGGTAATATTCTCATCCCGAAAAGGTGGAGGAGGAGGTAATACAAATCTATTCTTGACTTCATCCCCAGCCGTCAAAACTTTCGATTCCTCGTTCTGCCCCAGCTGGAGCTGTGCCGTGTTTGCTGCAAGTACAGGCTTTGTATCTGGCACAATATTATCCACATCTCTCAACAACTCTTCCACTTCAGGTAAAAAAGTTTTGGCTACTTTTGTTAGTGAGGATTTAGCCCCTTGGCCACTGTTTTCATTATCTTCTGAGTCTTCGCCATCTTGGTCGGATAAGTAGGGCACTATTCGAGCCAGTGCGGACAAAGCCGAACGATCTCTAGTCTTGACGGGCCCAATGTCGGGCACGAGTAATGATTGTTTCAGATCGTCAGATTCACCCTCAGAATAACTGTCGCTGTGCTTACGTTTATGTTTCTTTTTATGATGTGTTTTTTTCTCTTTCTTGTGTTTGCGTCGTCTGTCAGTATCTAGTTGAAGATGTGTGGACTTGTCTGGTGCAACAGGTGGAACCAAATTGGTGCTTGGAAGATCTCCTGCAGCCTGCTTTGGCAGGTCAGCTGGTGGATGTTGGGATACATTACTTTTAGGTTCCAGTCTTGATTTTTTTATCGTTTCTTTTTCTGTCACAACAGATTCTAGAGACTTTTTACTGTTAAGTTGAAGAAATATAAAAATGGCATTAATATGCATTTAAGTCTCAAAGTACTAAATTTTTTTAAAATGATGCAAAATCTCAAATCAATGATAACAGCTAAGCCCTCCTCTTGAAATACCAAAAAGTTGAAAATCTCAAATCAGTGATAACTGCTAAGCCATCCTTTTGAAATACCAAAAGGTTATTACTTAGGACCTTAACAAATTGACAACAATGTAATTATATTTCATTTATGAGACAGTGCAAAAAAAACAACACATTTTTATTCAATGGAAAATGCAATTTGTTGATATTTTTGGGGAAACAATTTTAGAATTGCAATATTATCCAATTTTTTCAGATTATAAAAATGATATGCCTTACTTGGCTTTCTTATCTTTTAATGCCTGCAATTGTTCTGCACTGAGCTTGGAGACTTTCTCCTCATACTCCTGATGAAGCAGTAGAAACTGTGTATACTCAGTGGGTATTTCCCACGTCACCCGATTGGTCTCCATGTTCCAGTAATAGTAGTACTGAGTGTGTTCATCTTGGACCATCTGCCAACTCGTGGTAGGTTCTGGGATAAGAACAAGACCATTTATGCTTATATTTGAACTGTTATTTATTGTGAACTACTTCCAAACTGAAATCCATTGAATCAATCAAAGAAGATCTGACCAACCTTCAGGTAAATTTTCCTCTTCCAACTTCTTCTTTCCATGGTCTCCCGAGTCATCATTGGTGACATTTTGGTTTGTGCTCTGAATGAATTCCACTGCTCCTTTCACAAACATAGAATAGGGATTGATCTTGCTTTTGCCAGATGAGCTACTAGCCGATGACACTGAAATGTTTTCCGCAACTGTGTCCAAGTCTTTCACAGCAGTGGGCTGAGATGGGGTTATGTTTGCATTGCCACTGATCAAATCATTAGGAACTGGGATGGCTTCAATTTCCTGTTCATAAAAAATAAAATAAATATGGACCTTTTTTTAAAAATTATTTATTGTTCAAACTGATTTAAAAAGGCTCACTAGGACTTGCCTTACTTTGAATATATTTCTGGAGTCAGACACTCAGGATTATATTACCCTTTTTTTTTGTTACAGCAAACAAAATATTTATCTTTTATTTATTAATTTAGGAATTTCAAATAGATTACAGAAAGGAAGTTCTTGAGCTCATCATCCATATCTGAAGGTTGTACAGTAGTGTCATGGGAAGGCATATTAACATCTGCGGGAACAACTACCGATGCTTCTTCAAAATTTTGCTCTGTCAGAAAAGATGCAAGTTTTTTAACATCAGAAAAAGAGTACACTATTTTATAATAGGCTAAGATAGTAGAGAATTTGAAGCTTATATTACGGTATCACAAAGTCTTTCAGAATATTTAACCAATGTTATTATATACATGCCACACCCCTTATTCCCATAACAATTATTTCACTCACCTGTCAACTCATTTGCCACTTGTTCTCCTGTCTCTGTTACCTGCTGCTGATCATCAGATTCACTATTTTCATTTGAGTCGGAATCAGAGTAGCTGCCCACTAAGGCCAAAGCAGACACTCTTCCTGCCGTAAAGAATCAATCCAATTAAATAAAGAAGCTGTTTACTTTCATTTATTAGCGTGAAACTTAAAGGACTGAAATTACAGCCATCCCTCGTTTATCGCTTTAAATCAGTTCCAGACTCTACCACGATAATTCAACTTCTGAGAAGTAAAATTCTTTATTTATAAATCAAATATAGAAAACCTGTTCATGACCCCTTACGGTTTTTAACATTATTAGACCCTATGGGTGTGCTGGAATACCTAGGCCTTCAGTCCATACCTAAAGCAATTTTAATTGTAATACAGGGGTGTATAATTGACTCAGACAACTGAGTGCACATTGTATAAATCTCACTATCTTGATCAATTTTTTAATGAATACATGTTATATTTGAAAAAAAACTCAAGTGAAGCCACAACAGTTGAAGCGCAAAGTGGCGAGGGATGACTGTATTCAATTTAAAAAAAGTATGACTCACCAAAATAGTCTTGTTCCAAAAGCAATAAATCAGAAATTAAAAATATTACCTTTTAAAATTCAATATTTTTATCAATATTATTTCCGTAGTAGAATAGATACAGTGATTGCCATTATAACTTAATAGGTTAAGACTGCAGTTTATAGCATTGTATATTTTAAAAATGAATAATGAATACCTTTTTTATCCTTCGAGTGGAATTCTTTACTATAACCATAACGATCTGTAAAATAAAATGGTTATTAGATGCTATATCAAAATTTATATTTGAAGTAGTTTTTTTGCACCACAATTTGCTTGGACATCTTTAGAGCTTTGGATTTATCACTAAACTACTGTACTGAACTGAAAACATTCAGGAAATTATTAGAAAAGTCCAATAGTCTCAATAGTATGGCAATGTGGGAGCTGTACAGCAATTAAAAATTTAACAAGAGTAGGACCCATACCAGGAGCCATTTTTATAAATATATCTGCTAAGAAAATATTTTGGGTGCCAAAGGCAGGGGTGGATTGTTTAAATGTCATCACGGCTTGTTAAAAAAAAGAGTTGCATCTATTCTTTCAAAGAGCCACATTCGGCTCTAGAGCGGCAAGTAGCCGACCACTTGCTTATCCTATCTTACCTCTATCTAACAGCTAACAAACAAATTTTTATTTCAGTACATAAAAAAAAATTTGATCAACACTATCTTGAACTTACGAAGCTGACTACTTGAATTTCCCAGTTGCAAAACAGGTTTGCGTTTTCCTCCTCGACGGGACATATTCAGTCTTTACAAATATTTTCCTTTTCAAACAGCCTTAAAAACTAAAATAGACCTGTAAAAGAATAAAGCAAAGCCTCAACAAAAATGTTTATAATTCATAAAATCATGTAACAAATAAAAGCAGAATTTTGTTTATATTTTAAGGTCTAGCTTATTCTACTTTCAGCACCCCATATTTGTATTCCTGAAGTGACTCGATAGGGCCAAAAAACAAGAGTCCAGATGGCCTAGTGCATGATTGGGTTTACAAGGGCGCAATTTAGTGTTTGAATATTTTATACCCAATATTGCAACATTTTCCATTTACACCCTTTCCCCAAGAATATCCCATTGTCATCAGATTACAACTTGAACTAATAAATATCGAAATGATAAATATAATTTGCTGAGCGGTATGATAAAACCCGCAATAGGGAGGGCCTGGGGAGATGACAAGTTTTCAGCAGCTTTTCACTAATAATTGTTGCTCACCAGATATTGTGTTTTATTGTGTGCTGTGTGTTTTTATAGAGTTAATAGTTAATGAACACTTTTCCTGCCATTCAATTTGGTGAGTATAATTATGTTAATTATGACATATTATTGTCTAGACTGTCTTTAATAGTATGTGCATATTTGTTAGCAGTTGTGGAAAGAGTTTGTTTATAGAGATCGAGGCTGGTCCTAACAAATTCTACCACTTAAAATAAGGTTAAAATTAAAATGGAAACTAGAAGCAAAACCAAAAAAATTAGCATAGAGGAAAAATTTACATGAATCCGGAAAACAGGGGAATAAAAAGGAGAGGGGAATATATAAGAGTGACGTTTAAAGAACAAGAATGGAAAGAAAAAGTGGAAGAATGTATAGCTAAAATAGAGATAGAAAGAAAAATTAGAACTAGATAAACAGAGACAGTACAAAATAGATAAACTAGAGAAAGAAATTAAACTTGCTGAAATGAACAAAAGTACAGAAGTTGGACAGGTGAAGGAATATTCAATAGCGAGACAAGAAATTTTTTTTATCATTTAGCCTACTCAAAAGTCTACCAAGATATGACAACATTCACAAACTGGGTGAATACATAGTTAATTTTGAACACACTGCCACTCAAAACAATGTTCCAAAAGATGAGTAGATTACTGAATTACAGGTTAGTTTGACCCGGGAACTAGAATCATTCTAATGCCTAATACTAATGACTGAGGACTGAAGGGGGAACTAGAATCATTCCTAATGACCGAGGACATGAGACAGAAACTTTCGGAATAAGACACTGTAAAATTATTTTTAAAAATGTTTAATGTATCAAATAAATACAGAGTTTAAAAAATCTAAATCTTTTGACTTTGAATATGGTCATGGCCATGGAACTATTACTATGGCATGGCTATGGCATGGCCAGTGCCAGTAATCCTCTTCCTAAGTTGACCTGGGCCTGGGGAACAAAACATCTATCATCTTCATCTGCAGTGACAGACTGACCTATCCTTTATTATTGTGATATATGCCTTGCCACTAACTACATCTCAGCCACATTTTAGCCTTAGCTAACTTTTATTGTTAGAAAAAATGAAAACTATGACTATGACTATAATGGTCTATGAATGTCTATGTCTATGATGATGGTCATGGTCCAAAACTACTTATTTAAAAAATATATAAGGCCAACAATTATATAAGCAAGCCAATGCAGCCAGGTTCAATTGCTATTATCCAACAACATATTTATATTACATTTTATACAACAAAGCTATTTGTTTTGCTGAATTTGCGCTAGCTTTCACGGACGGGGAGAAGTCGTCTTACTTTAACGTCTCACTTCTATAGTTTTCGCCATCATGGACAGTGGTACTACTTGCATACTTATTGTTGCAGTAAGGAATTAGAAACAAAATTCGTGTAAATAACAATGGTCTAAACGATTTTGCAAACTAACTGACGGTACATAGAATATAAAATGAGTAAAACAAATTAGGATTAAACCTGAAAAAAGGAATGCAACAAAACAACGAACGTGTCGGCAGGAAGCCTTCGTCAGCGAACAAAACAACAACAACAAAAAAAAAAAAACAGAATAAAACTAAACAATAGCACTTAGCTTAGAAGTAGTATTCGTGCATCCAACCTTTGAGAATCATTGCTAGAAGGCGATAACACATCTACCCGTGCCGCCACACAAACATAAATAAATTATATGTATAGGGAAATATAGCTCTTTAATATATATATATATATTTAATGCACATTGATGCTATTGTTGATTAAAAAGGTTTCCGTCATTTCTCCTTTGAACGACGAAAGTAGGATGTGGTGGGTCGGGGGGGATCAGGACGTTCTCCACATTCTGCAGAGTGAATAGGAGAAGGGTCTGAGGAGTGGGCAGTGTCCCCTCTCCCAGAATTTTTTCTTATAATTTCATAAATTTTGGCACATATCTGAATTTAGTTTTGCATACTTCTACATTGAACCGGAGAATACTAGAAGAAATGGTAGGGGAAATTTAGGTTTCCTTTACACTACTACTTTCTCGACCTTTTGGCTAAGATCAGGATGCAGTGTCTGTTCCTATCCCGCCGGGTTACAAAATTCATGGGAGGGACGTGATCTTTCAGCCGGGGTTGGGGCGATCGGCAAAACTAATGAGAGAGCCGCAAGGCCAAGAGACCCGCAAGAGCAAAATTTGAAGATGGACTACCCAAGCATTGCAGTACTTCTTAATGAACTTTTTAATAAATAAATTAAAAAACATAGTTTCTTTAACTCCTTTAATTTTAATAGTTACTAAAAAGTAAGTATTATTGATTTTACATTTTTAGTAGCATAAAGATTTGAGATTTGATTTTTAGAATGAGTTCTAAAGAGGGGCCGGTAAACCGAAATTTGGTCCGAGCTGGGTGCAGTTGTTTTTTTTACACACCAGCTCCGGTTATTATGAGGAGACAGACCCGATGGATCCGAGTCCGGGAGTTTAAAAAAAAAAAGAGAGAGAGTTATTTTTCATTTTCCATAATATGTTCCACCCGATAGGGAGAAGTGAAAAGTGCATGTATAGAACCATTAGTGACAACAAAGGCACCAAAGTTGAAGGATTCAAAACTCTAATGGCTTAATAATGTAGTTCTGACCCAGTGGTCCTCAAACATTTTAATGTCACAACCCTATATAACATTTACCCCGTTGTGGCGATCCTTTACCAGAATTCAACTTTGAACTTGAGACAAATGGGGTTAAAGGGGAGGGGCGAAGCTTATTTGTAAATGAAAAGGTGTTGGTACTTTAATTTTGAGCGGTGGTGGAGGGAAGCAGAAATAGTGGCTAAGAAAGGTGGATGGTTCTGTAGAGGGGGGCTCTGTAAGTCGACCCCAGGGAGTTTTTGATAAATTCACAAGTCTGGTTGTAGTTTTGCGTGGAAGCTGCCAACTTTAATGAAAAGAAACCCCCACAGTATTTATATTAATTGTGTTGCCGATATCTGTATTTTATGTAACTGCCGTGTAATCGTTGTGTAGTAACAATAAGAAACTAGTCCGATCACTGTCTGTAAATAATATTTAAAGTTTAAAATAAGAATTCAAAAAATGATTGTTCAAATGGCCTACACATTTTACACATAAGAATACCCCCGTCAAATTTCTTAAATTCTCAAGCACTCTCCGAAAGCGCCAAGGTCATCACCAAATGTATGCATCCTGCTAATACAATGAATAATAATAATTACGATACATGGGCGCCTGCAGAAAACTTTATAGGGGGGGGGGCAAAAAATCAATTAACCTTCTAGGGGGGGGCACACATTTTTTAGTAATGTTTTAATGTAGTTTTAATTTACTGTAGCGTATTTTTATGGTGAACGAACGGACAGGACATCAGCTTAGTTACTTTCTCTTTATTTTCTCTTTACTTTAATACATTTTGTGTCTATTTTTGTCTAAATTTTTTTTATCCAATCAATTCAGGGGGGGGGAGGCAAGTGCCCCCCTTGCCCCCCCCCATGCGGGCGTCCATGTTACGATACACAAACTTTGCAACAAGTACATTATTATTTGCAGCGTTGCAGTTTCATATTAGCTTACATTTAGTCCCGCACCAATGGATAGTAGTTTTCAAATATTATTTATTTAATTCAGGTAAAATGTACACAATGATTATGGAAAACAAAAAATTAAAAAGTATGTATTGTTTTTATTAGGAAACTGCAACTGGAATAATTACTTCCTTTGTCACACACAGTTATCATTCTTTTCTCAAGCATACAAAGACAAAGAACCACACAAATTGCTTCGCACATAGCCATGACCCACTAGAGCAGACTACTTGAGTTCTCGTAGGTCGTGACATGGCTCAAGCATTGAGACCTGGCGAGGGGAATAAAGATCAAATTTCTTTATTTATAGTTGGACACTAAAAAGCTAGAATTAAATAATAATATAACGCAATTAATGACAATTACTAGAATTAATCTGTGGGTTACAGTGTTTCCCAAGATAGGGCGAACACCCCATTGCCGGGTACCTATAGCCACACCTATTTATAATAACGCATAACTGACTCTGAGAGATTGAAATGTATTTATGTTTCAAGCGCTCAAGAGTTGGACATGACCTCTGTTGACCGGGGTGGATGGAAAAAAAAAAAAAGTGGGGGGGGGGGTGGAATCTATAAGTGATTAGGTTTCATGGGTATGGGTCAAAAGGGTTGAGTAACATTTGGTTACGTTGAGTGGGTCTGTGGGTGAACCATAATTGTTATAAAATGGTTGAAGAAATAGAAGCCAGCACTACTTAGTCACTCATGGATTTGAACCTTGGGCCTAGGCGCGTACAGTTAGGCTCTGATCACCAGTGCAAAAAAGGACACACTTTAGCCATCTCCAAAGTTATTTTGAATCGACAAGTGACGTAGCCAGTAGTATGTCATTTGGCGCGCCATCTCTTAAGTTAAAGGCTGACGTCATACATGTGTCATAGTAAAAAAAAAAATATGACAGGATGGCACCAGACAGGGAACCTTGCCATCGCACGTGTCAATAATACTCACACAATTTGATTTTTTAAAGAACTAAGTTAATGTAAGGGCAAATTTATTTGAAAAACGCCCCTTTTGTTTAAAAATAAAGTACATTATATTTTGGTTGTCTGAAAAAGTCGCCAACTATTGTGAACAATTTTAATAGTAATAAAAAAAAAGAGTTTAAGTTTTAAAGGCTAGGAAACAATCAAAGGTATCCAAAAGGATTGGTTACACCAGAGGTCCCCGTTCTTAGGCATATGCTGACTACACATCCGCGTAGGGCCCCGAACGTGAGGGGGCCCCCGTGAGGCACCCTCGATCCCCCGGTTTTTTTTAAACTGGCACTGCAGCCGTCTGTGTCACTCACGTTACCTTCCTCATCCTGAAATTTATCATTCTGAGTTGAATTCGGAGGCAGGGGAAGAGAAGCAGCGGGGGGGGGGGGGAGGGGTTGGGGGTGGGGCAGACGGGAAAGCGGGGGCTTGGCCGTGGGAATGGGAGGGGGGGTTGGGGGGGGGGGGGGGGGAGAGGGGGGGGGGGGGGGGGAGAGCTTTGGGGTGTGGCAGACAGGAAATCGGGGGCTTGGCCGTGGGAATGGGAAAGAGGAAACATTGATGAAGGCAGAATGGAGGTGTCACAGTGGTGGGTGGTGTTTTCTCCTCAGCTCGAGGGAGCTCCACCCCCGGACCCCCTCCCCCTTTCCGGACCCCCCAACCTACGCTCCATGCTTAGGGCCCCCAAACCTCTAGGAACGGCTCTGTCCCCAACCATGGCGATGCAGCCCAGCACCGGTCTGCGGCTTAATCGGAACTGAGTGCACGTTTTGAAATGTAAACTACAACAACAATTTGGGGACCGTGGGGTGACATCATTTCGAGCTACTCAAGTCTTGGCAACTCATGTGAGGAACAAAAATTGTGCTGTTATTACTAGTAGGTGCGCGCCCGTGTCATAGACTAAGCCAGTGGCTCTCAATTAGTTTTCTTCCACGTCCACCTTGAGGCCATAAACACATCCCTTACCAACCCCGTTAAAATAATATTCAGAATTTTCATTTTTGTACAAGACAATAATAACAATATGTTACACATATTTGAACCGTTTAAGAAGAATTATATCGTCCTAAAATCAAACATGTTACATATAGTTTAACATCTTACAAATAAAAGTTGATTATCTTGAACCAATGGTGTAATAAAAAAAAAAGAATTTTAGATACCATTTTTAATATCAGTAAAAAAAAAACTTTCTTCGCTGTTCAAACGCTCTTAAAGTTTTGGGGGAGCTTTGTGAAGTGATGTCAGTTGTTCAATGTATGGTTGAATGTCATTTAAAAGAATCTTAAATCTTCATGGTTCAGTCATCTGGAGCTTATTTCTTAGCTTGGTTCAGTCATCTGGAGCTTATTTATTAACTTGGTTCAGTCATCTAGAGTTTATTTCTTTGCTTGGTTCAGTCATCTGGAGTTTATTTCTTAGCTTAGTTCAGTCATCTGGAGCTTATTTCTTAGCTTGGTTCAGTCATCTGGAGCTTATTTCTTGACTTGGAGGAAAGTTGAACTACAACAATAAACAGTAAAACGACGTTCCGCCACATAGGACGTTGCCATGGCAACAATAGAGTTTCTTAACAACTTTCCACAGTGTAGAAGAGCGGCACGAAATGTCTTTTTGTTATAATTTGTAGCCACAAGTCTAGGTATGAGTTACTGAACTTTGGCTTGAGCTCTCTAGCATCTAAAAGCTGAATTAAATCTCTTCTGTCGTCTTAGTAAATGGTTTCTTCAACCAGTCTGGAATGTCAATCAAAAGTAGATCTTAAATCTCTCAGCTATATCTTTATGTAGTTTATCCAAATGCTCATAAAATACTGCAAGATCAATATCTGGTGGTATCCCACCTTTCTCTTTGAGATAATTATATGGTATCCCACCTTTCTCTTCAAGATCATTATCTGCACCTTTCTCTTCAAGATCAATATCTGGTACCGGTATCCCCTCTTTCACTTCAAGATCACTATATGGTATCCCATATTTCTCTTCAAGATCAATATATGGTATCCCACCTTTATCTTCAAGATCATTATCTGGCATCCCACCTTTCTCTTTAAGATCAATATATGGTATCCCACCTTTCTCTTCAAGATCATTATCTGGTACCGGTATCCCATCTTTCACTTCAAGATCACTATATGGTATCCCATATTTCTCTTCAAGATCAATATATGGTATCCCACCTTTCTCTTCAAGATCATTATCTGGAATCCCACCTTTATCTTCAAGATCAATATATGGTACCAGTATCCCAACTTTCACTTCAAGATCACTACATGGTATCCCACCTTTCTCTTCAAGATCAATATATGGTATCCCACCTTTCTCTTCAAGATCAATATATGGTATCCCACCTTTCTCTTCAAGATCATTATCTGGTATCCCCCATTCACTTCTAGTTCAGGCTGATGGGAAATTAGAATAACACTACTGGGAATGTTGCGTTTAATGAACATAATTAATTAAGCTATTAATGTAGAGCTAACAGTAACAGATAATTGATTTGAGTTTGACAAAATGTGTTTTTTCTGTTTGCAACTGTAAATTTGTTTCATTGACTTCAAACAATTCTCCTACCGGTACAGTGTTAAATAAATTGTATAATCAATTCAAACACTTGCCAATGAACTTCAGTAAACAGCAGCAGAAAGTCCAACTCGCCATCGCTCTCAGCACAGTTTTTCCTCATTATTTGATCATTGAGAGCTAGGGCTTTTATTTATTCACAGCACTAAGAACGGTGTTAAACAACTGATGCATGCGATCACTGAGATTTTTAGCAACCAAATGTTGGCGATGAATGACAAAATGACAGTGGCACAAGGATTACGATAGTATAATAGTTAACACTAAAAGGCAACAAACACAGTGTAGTACACAGTCATGGTGCTCCATCAGTTGTAACCAGTCATTGCTGTGTCCATCAGCTGTAACCAGTCATTGCTGTGTCCATCAGTTGTAACCAGTCATTGATGTGTCCATCAGTTGTAACCAGTCAATGCTGTGTCCATAAGTTGTAACCAGTCATTGCTGTGTCAATCAGTTGTAACCAGTCACTGATGTGTCCATCAGTTGTAACCAGTCATTGATGTTCCATCAGTTGTAACCAGTCATTGATGTGTCCACCAGTTTTAATCAGTCATTGATGTGTCCATCAGTTTTAACCAGTCATTGATGTGTCCATCAGTTGTAACCAGTCATTGATGTGCCCATCAGTTGTAACCAGTCAATGCTGTGTCCATCAGTTGTAACCAGTCATTGCTGTGTCCATCAGTTGTAACCAGTCATTGATGTGTTCATCAGTTGTAACCAGTCATTGATTGTGCTCTATTTCTGTTCTATTGATATGCACACTTTATTGTTCTATTTTGTTCTATTGATATGCACACTTTATTGTTCTATTTGTTCTATTGATATGCACATTTTATTGCTCTATTTTGTTCTATTGATATGCACACTTTATTGTTCTATTTTGTTCTATTGATATGCACACTTTATTGTTCTATTTCTTTTCTATTATTGATATATACACTTAATTGTTCTATTTCTGTTCTATTGATATATACACTTTATTGTTCTATTTATGTTCTATTTATATACATATTTTATTGTTCTATTTCTGTTCTACTGGTACTGATATACACACTTTTTTCGTCACTTTGTATAAGAAATACTTGCCCAAGTTAAATCAGAAAAACAGTTTAGAGTTTTGTTCATGTTTTTATTGTGGTGCTGCGGAAATTGTTGAAGAGTCTAGATGTGCCGTATGGACTGGAAAAGGTTGCAGAGCACTGCAAAGGTTGCAGAACACTGCTCTAGACTTGTCTCGCTTCTTTACACCAGAAGGACCTAGTTAATCTCCACATATTTACTGTATTTTAAAGAAAGAGTCAGCACTTCAGAATTTTTTAAAAATTGTCAAATACAAAATTCGCTACAAAAACTCAGTACCATAAAATGCAGAACTGGACAAAATTACATTATGTACCACATCTGGAATACATTTCTAGAATTTTAATTTTAGTTACTTCCTTTGAATAGCATAAAGATTATAACAACTAACATAATTATCTTGTGGGTATGAATAATTAAAGCTTTTTACCTTAAAAAAAACATTGTGTTTTATGCTATTCATTTTATCTGTGTAATCTTAACTGCATAACACAATAGAAAAATTTACAACTCTACGTATTATTAATTTCATTTCAATGTTTAAAAATACCGTCAAAAAAATAACTGAACTAAAATTTGAATGTTTAATATTTATCTTCTTTTAAAGATTGGTGTGGTATCATTTAGAAACAAGATAATACCACAGTAAATGATTTAATGTAAGATGAAAAGATGTAGATTATAGAAAAAATTAATGTATTTAAACACATATCATACGAATTTGAATGTTCAACTTATGTACTACTATAAATAATGCCATGAGGCACAGTAACACATTCAATTACCAATAATATTTTTGATCATTGAAAGAATTAAAAGAATTCAACAAAAACAATTCAGTTTACTTTCAAAAACATAAGCTTGAAATATTGTATATTACCACGTATAATGTGATCCAATATCCCATCAAAGGGATGCTGCTTTCATTACTAGTGTTATGCACAGATACGATAGGCGCTCGGTTACCATATACAATTGGGCTAAGAAGATTTGGTTGCATAGGCATTTATAGATAAAGAATATGGCACCAAAGAATGTATAGTGATTACAAGTAATGAAAAACTTTCTATACATGCATATAATGCGAAGCCTTTGTTTTAAGTGACATTTTTACACTAAATTTCTCGCATTATATGTGATAAAATATGGTAGTTATTATTAAAATGTAAGACTTAACAAAAACTTTCTTTACTTTTCATACTGTTGTCTTTGGTACGTTCTTTCTAGAAAATCTGGCACAAAACTTTCCGTAAGCAGGCTGGGATATAATGACATCAACAATTAAATACTGTCCATCTTTTGGGTCTGGATGGGCAGAGCTAACTGCTGCTTCCTGATACAACCAGCTGCAAAAAGGAGAATTGAGAATCAATCTGAGACGTCAAGATAATATTTAGTGATTTTCATTCCATTATTATTATTATTCATTTATTCATTTATTACGAATCAGTGCAATAAAATGAAGTAATGGCAATTTTAAAAAAAAAGGAGGCAGGAAAAAATGTTAGAGATACAACAACAACAAAAAATGTACAGAGCGCTATATGAATGGAACAACACATGTAACAGTAATACTGATGTGCCGGTACATTAAGATGCAGGTACCTAGAGATGGAATAACTGATTACAGCATATTAATATTTATTACCGGTACAAAAAAAATCTTAGTAAATTATTTTGTTTAAAAAGTACTGTACTTATATAAAATTACAGGTATCCCTTATTTGTATGTGATCTCACATACAGGAGAAGTGATTCAGCTTTTCCTTTATTCTTAGTTCTGACATATTTAGATATTTTCTCAAAAATCTAGGAAAGATATAAATACTTTTGATTACTGGTTGCAGTCCGCAAAACAATGGCGGCGGCAATGCATGAACTTCCCACCTACTAAATTTACTTGACTAAAATGGAAATGAGTGAAACAAAGCATGTGAAAACCCTGAAAAAAAACGCAACAATGGTGTCGACAAGAAGCCTTCATCATCAGCAAACAAACAACACTAAAAACAGAATTATATACAAATAACACTTAGCTGAAATGTAGTATACGATAGGGCAGCAAGAGGAATGTGACAGATAATAAATAGGTGAGAGATTAAATACATGCAAAAAGGGAAAGTAGAGAGGAAAAATAAGTCCACAGCGTTGGTCGTAATGAGGAGGGGGGGGGGGGGGTAAGGTTTAACAGGTGAATGAGAACATGACATTCCGGCCATGTGGTGTCAAGGTTCCAAAAGTCTGGATCGTTTTCCTAATTCACCCAGTTTGATGTGTTAGAGAGGAAAAATAAGTCCACAGCGTTGGTCGTAATGAGGAGGGGGGGGGGGGGTTAAGGTTTAACAGGTGAATGAGAACATGACATTCCGGCCATGTGGTGTCAAGGTTCCAAAAGTCTGGATCGTTTTCCTAATTCACCCAGTTTGATGTGTTAGTGCAGTTTGAACCCGCTGCCAGATGTCATATATAGGTGAGACAGGACGCCGATTCTCTGACAGATGCACTGAACACCTCTGTAATATTTCGCAAGATAAGCATTGTGCCATCTCTAAACACTTCAATAGAAGCAACCACAAGGGATCTGAGGATTTTACTATTAGTGCTGTCATGACCTGCACTAACACACCAAACTGGGTGAATTTGGAAGACAAGCTGACCTAGACTTATTATCCAGAGATTGATGAACTCACCATAACACCATTCCTAGAGTATTATATTGATTTATCAAGTTACCACTATACAATACTTTCATACCTAGAGTATTACATTAATTGATATCCTTCCAAGGTAGGAACAAACTTAACTAGACTGAAAATGATGATAGCAACAAAAAAATTAAGGAAATAATTCTAATGTGGGGAAGTAACACAAGTGTAGCATACCTTAAAATTTGTTCACTGTTAGGAATACGAAAAGTTTTCTTCATGTGGCTGGTAGTGGACAGCAAAGCTTCTTCTAATTTAAGTCCCAATTCTGCCAGCCCTTGACCTGTGACTGCTGAAATTTGAAGGATTTCCTGGTCTAAACTCGCAGCATCCCTGGAATAAATAAACATACACATCATTTTGCTAAAAATTGTTCAGTTTTATTTCTGGTGGCACAACTAGACTCCAGACACTTTTAGAATTATTTAAATTTAGTCACAGCTAGACTCCACAAAGTTTTAGGATTATTTCAATTCATTTGTTTCTGCCCATAAAAAATTGATCACACATCACAAACAAAAAAAGTACATTAGTTAAATGACTTACTGTGGAGATATTATATCCATCTTGTTGTAAACTTCTATCATGGACATCATTTTCTCTTCAGGAAGCATCCTCCCTAATGTTTTATGTACAGAAACCACTTGAAGTTTTCTATCCGGATGACTGGCATCACGAATGTGAATGATGACATCCTAGAGAGGAGGCACAAACAATTTTTTAATATTGCATTTCAAGGAAATTGTAATTGAAAAATTATATATTGTTAAAATAAAAGTATTTTTAGGGAGCTGTGCCCCCACAGGGGCATATGGTCTTGAAATTGAAAAAGGAAAGTGATATAATAAACTACTCCTTTTACTTGATACTTTAACAATTATTGTTTTTAATTTTTACTACATGATTGTTAAATTTAGTGCATAAATCTATTTATGGTACTGGTACTCACATGTCATGAATTTTTATATATTTTGATTTCATATTTCCACTACATAAAAATATTTATTTAGATAGCTGAACCCATACAAAATATATTTAATAATAAAACACAATATACACACTATTAAATAACCAAAGCCGGTGAAACTTTTGAAGAGCCACAGACCTAAGCTGAATAGGATGGGAATGTGTAACTGTAACCTAGAGCCTTTATTTCAATTTTCAAATCTATTTTTGGCCAAGTGTCAGCATCAGTGGACATACCGGTACTAATAGTCAGTTACCAAATTGATCTAATTTAATAAATTTCTGCAAAAATATTTAAAATGTCTCACAAGATACCAAGCACAATACACCTTTGATCTTTTCTATGACAATAGTAACTGTTTTTCATTATAATTTTCTGAAGTAGTTGGTTAAAATCTTACTGCATGTATTGCATCTTGTAAGGTAGCTTTAAAAGCATCCAGTAGAGTAATGGGCATGTCAGAAATAAAGCCGACAGTATCAATATATGTGACTTTCATCAATGATGCCAAAAGACCATCATGTGCTGAGACATCGAGAGTGGCAAAAAGTTGATTTTGGGGGATTAAGTTTTCATCTTCTGTCAATGCTTTGATAAGGGTCGTTTTGCCTAAACGTAAATTAAAATTAAAAGAAATTTTAAAAATTGTTAACATTTTATTATGAAGAACTTATTTTTGATCCATAGGACTACCAAAAATAATAATTGTCCCATGTCAAAGACCAATATCTAAATGGTATAACCCAAGTCATATTTGTAGTTAGTGAACATAGATTCTGGAGCTCTCTGACCACCTCTTGATCACCGATACTGAATTAAAAAAAATAAAATTAATGCTGCTATGTCCAATAATTACTACATCATATCTCATCCAAATCCAAGCAAAGACAGGCTTTTTAGAAAGCTAGTATAGATATAAAAGTACCGTATAAAAAATATCAAAGCTCAATTTGAACTTCACTTTCTAACCTGAATTTGTATAGCCGACAACTGCTACAGTAGGGACACTGTTACGAATTCTCAAGCTTCGAATTTCTTGTCTTTTGCCATGTAAAGTTTCTAATTGTTTCTTTAATTTAGACTCACGTCGCTAAAGTAAACAGAAACTACATTAAGTAAAATATTATCATAAATGTCTACTTAGCATCATAATATAAGAAATATAAGAATACAAAAAGTAAATATGTTTATACATTGGGGATGTCTATTTAAATTCTTAAAGTATAATAGACTGTGCATGTATCAAAATATTTAATTCTCTATGTAACAATGTCACCAACGCTACCACATGGCACTGACTTCAACAAATAAAATACCAATAACTGGGCTAAATGAGATTCTTAAAATAATGTTAAGTCCATTTGGTGCATAATATTTTCTTTTGTTTTATGGAAATAGTCTCGATTTAAACATGGTGTTCTAAAAGGGGGTGTGACATTAGAATAGTGATATATTTCAGGAGCATAAAAAAAGTGTGCGGGGCAACAACACACTATTGGATTCTTATAAAGTGCATATTTTGTCAAGCAACTTTAGTATATGGGAAGTTCAAGCATTGCGGCTGCCATTGTTTGGCAGGCTATAGTTAGTATATCATATAAATGTATATCAGATATCTACGTCCAAAGTTAAATAAGCAATGTTAAAACCATGTTCAGAAAAGGTAAATAATAAATTTGAACCTTCCTTCTACATGTTAGGGTATAATTTCTAACTGCATTCTATTCGACTAGTAGAGTGTAAATAAAGGTGTAAATGTTTACGGTATCATCACTCCACACTGTTGATGCTTTACCTGCAGTAGTAACCTTCTGCGGTCTAGATCCATCTGTGTGGCCCCTCCAACTAAGTGAGAAACCCCAGCATCAAAACCACCATGTATTAACACTAATCTGGATCTTAACAAACAAAAAGACAATTTTATTTATTTTATATTAATTTTTAAAAAAACAACATAGAAACATGAGATAGAAAAATAAATGACAAAATGTAGAAAAGCTTTGTTCATGAATTGTATCAGGTCATTAAGAGGCAGATTCAAAATATCATTTGGTTAAGAACACACTGTCTTTGGGACTTGGTCAAGAACATACTATCTTTGGGACTTGGTTAAGAACATACTATCTTTGGAACTTGGTTAAGAACATACTATCTTTGGGACTAACATGTTATGGAAGGATGTCTGTTATTGTTTTTCAATGTAAACATCGTGGAGAACACTCTTAAAAAAATGGACCAACTTAATCATTCGAAATTTTAGCTTTTGGGTGTCAAATGACAGATTAAACATATAAGAATTATTTATACAATGACCAAAGTTTATTTATGCATGGCAACCTCTGGTAACAGACATACATTTGACAACAAATTTTTAAAATACGCCTTTGGGAGAATGGATATATTCAAATACCTAGGACAGGGGTGGGAAAACTACAGTGGCGCAGCAATTCATATTATGCGGCCCTCGAAGGCATTTAGAAAGAAAAAAATCACTTTGTTTTTAAGTTATGTTGTTGAATTTTACAGAATTTCATGTACCGTTATGATTGTTTGAATATTTTTTATCAACTTTCTAATTTTCTAATTTTTTAAACAGTGCTTGACTTTTGTCATGTCGATTTTAATATAGAGAAATGTTTATCGACATGTAAAAATTGGACATAATATACATGCAGCCCCCCAATAGCTTTACATTTGTCAATGTGGCCCACCGCACAAAAAATTTGCCCACCCCTGACCTAGGAGCACCATGTAATAATGATGACGTTAAAGAAAGGATAACAGCAGGCATGGTTCGTATTGCAGTCTACAAAAGCTACTAGGTAGCAGAAACCTCTCAAGGAAAACTAAGAATACCATATACCTCACTATTTTAAGATCAGGATTGATGTATGCAAGTGAGACAAGGACCCTCAAGAAAAATGCAGATCGTACTGAATGGAAGGATGTGGTGGTGCTGTAGCATCATTCATGATGATGATGAGTTTATTTACACTGGTATATTCATATAAAGGTTATATATTCTGAATAAAAATAACCTAAAGTTAAAAATAAATAACTTCTTAATATTTTTTTTAACCTATCATTTTTAACAACATCTCAAATACGTACCTAACATATGGGATCTCCGCAAGAGCCACCTGCAGCTTTGCCTCTGGAGATTGTGCATGATCTTTAAAGATCTGCAGAACAATAGTATAACGGTCGTACACAGGCAGGCCCCAAGCAGTCTGCAAGGTATTTATCTGCAAGCCTGTCAGACGATCTATCCCGATGACAACAGCAGAGATATGATTATTGGATTTTATATCGTGTAGAAGAGTTTCAAAATTCCCTGAGCCAAATACCCTCTGTGTGTTCTCAGAGTCAGTCCTAACAATTTTCTAAAAAAGTAAAAAGAAAAAAAAAATTTGCTCAAAGACAAGTCATTAAAAATGGTGTATTAGCAAAGAAAATTATATGCAAAGCAGGGCAAGGCTATATATAAAATTTGCATTGAACAGTTTCCTTTTTAATAGGGGCATATCTTTTAGTTGTATGTTAACATTGTGACCTTTACATCAGAGGAAAATGTTTGTCCTGATTTACATGTCAGTCAGAAGATCAAATAAAATATAGCCAGATGTTTACAACATTAATAAAATACAGTGAGATGTTTACCATATCAACAACTTTCCACTTTGGTAACGTCTGGACAAGAGCACATGTTTCTGCCAGTTTGAGTTCTTTTGTTGTCATTAAATATCGCCTTGATCCAGATTTGATGTCTTTGTAGAAAAATAATTAAAATAATATTTCAAGTTCAATTTTGAAAGTCAATCGTATGACAAGGCAAAAAATGGCAAGAATGGTTTTGATCTATCAAAAACTTCTTAGAACAATTACTTATGAGCAACCGCAATGTGCTTTCTTTTTCTCTCTTCCATCCCGCATTGCCTATCTTAATTCTCGGACTTATTTTTTTGTTACCCTTAGTTTATAACGTTAGCCAAAGAAGGCTTCTTGCCAACACCGTTGTTTTGTTACATCCTTTTTTTTTCAGTTTTTTTCCCCATCCTGTTTTAAATATTTCCTTAAAAACAATTAGGACATGAGGAAATGTATAAGACATACCGAAGGTAACTAAAAGAAACAAATAAAATGTAGGCTAACTTTTTATGCAGTCTGAAAAACTGCAGCAGTACTAATTTGATAGTTAAATCTTTAGTATTCACAATATAAAAACTAAGTCATAAGCTAAATACTTAAATTTCTCTTACTATGCCTCACCTGGTTGAATAACTAAAACTCTGTGGCCCATTCCGGGAATAGCACAGATCTCTCTTAAGTATTGCCCATACTCTTCTTCATCATCCACTTCATGATTTGAATTATTTCCTGATGATGCATCAGAGCAAAATGTTGCTAGAAAGAAAATGATTCAAAAGTTAGTCTTTGTGCCAGTAACACATGGACATTAGAGGATATCTAATAATATCAAACAATGCCACACTAAAAAACTGAAGTGGATTCAACATACAAAAATTACATTGCATAAAATTTGTTACTATTTAAATTTATGCATAAATTTCATGCGGAAATTTGTTTGAAAGAAATTTTGTCAACAGAAAATCGATCAACGAAAATTTGATTGAACGGAAGTTTGGTCAAATCTTTTTTTTCAGTTCACACTTTAAAATTTTGCGTCTAATTTCTTTTAGAATGCACTATACTATAAAGTAAAACAAGAGAATGCGTTCAAAAAGAAATTTGAAGCAAAATTTTACCGCGTGGACCCGAAAAAAAGATTTGACCAAACAAACTTCAGTTCGATCAAATTTTCTATACGAAATTTCTTTCAAACAAATTTCCGGTAACCAAATTTAATTCATGCATCTTGGTATGGATTCATTTTTGGTATAATTGTTTTGTGTTACACATGACCTGATGGCCATTTTCCATTAAGAACATGTAGTCTGCACATTTTTTTAAAATAGAAATTTTTGTTGTTTTTTAAACCTAATAAAAAATATAGACAGACAATTTTCATGGTCAATTTCATATGATGGACAGGCATTGAAACCCTTTTATTTATGTTTATTTAAACTGCTACAGTGAAGTATTTATAATTCTGTCAAAGAATGTTCTATTCATGTTTTTTATTTATTTCTTGCATTCAGACACACTACGTCAGTTAAAAATTCATGTTATGTCAGTTATATTATTTTCTGTATTTTTCTTTACAATTTAAATTTTTAAGTAGTTTTAAAAGGTTTTCCCATTGCAAAGTAAACACTGTAGATGATTAGTTTGAAAACATATAATTAAATTACAGCAGATTTAAGAAGAAATAAAGAAAAAGGGATGCTAACTCAAATATTATGTCCTTTTCAGTTAATTCTCAAAACACCAGTCCTGAATTCAAAACACTAGTAAAACGCATCAAATGAGAAGTTAATTTGGCAGTTTAATCATTTTTTATCAAATATATGGTAAAATGTGCTAATTGTCAGTCAACAACTTCAAGTACTGTCCATAAACGCGAAAAGCACCGCATTTCTCAGCACCAAGATTTCCAACCAACATTTCCTACAACCAAAGAGCTGTATCGGCCATGATTACAATGAAATTTCCAATAACAAGTAATATGCTTTGTCAACTTCAACGTAAATTGTTAGCCTCGTGGCAATGAAGCCTCAAATCTTAATGTGTTGAACTTGAAACCAATTGCAAAACTCAATTCGCAAAAGTTTGTTGTATTTTACAATGATGTCTGAATTATCAATGCTGCTGAAAAGAATAACATACTTGCATATCAATTCATAAACCCAATATAATATCATCAAGATGATTGTCTGTGTGCTAAGCCCACAGTTTGCAAAAAATGACTTGATGCATATACTGCATCTCATATTGCACGGATGGCATTTCCCTAAGTAGCCATCATGTGACTTAATATGTCGTATTAAAGACATGGGGCATTGACAGTTGTTGCAGTCATTGCTGTTTGATATTAGCCACACTAACCAAAGCATGCTGTCCCACAGAGGCTTCAGCAAGCCACACTAATCAGTGCGCTTTAATACAGTGCCATTAGCAAACACACTGAACAAAGAATACTGTCATACTAGTTGTCATAAATTATTATGTCATACATTCTGGCATACATGCGATCATAAATGATGTCAATATATGCCCTTGCAATGTGCCAGACCTTGCATTCTTCGTATGGCTTGTTGTATATTATTACTAGCAATTAGTCTGCAAGACAACTCCATTCCATTTATTCAGATTCATAGATGTAAATAATTATAACACCAATTATGGATGGCTATTTGGCTACTAGCCAGGCACTTATTAAAGAAAATTATACTATTTGACATTTGCGACTGGTGTTTGGAAGATAACCTCCTTTTCATATTATGACATTTACAATTCCAAAATGTATGTTTTTCTATTATTATGCTAAATATATAGGCAGTGTCTACACGTCCGGCGCGCCGGACGTCTATCTCCCGCACTATGTGTCCGGCGACCAAGTCACATGACCGCCGTAACAAAGTGGCGAGAGATATCTTGTCGGTCAGCCTTGTCACATGACTGCGAATAATTCAAAACTATTGTTAATTTTAAAATCTATTTCTCTACCAAGTAATGTACTGAGTATCTTGAATGCAAATAATAGAAAACATTTTTGTTTAGTTTGTTATTTGAGTTTGTGTACCAGTAATCCATAAAATAAATTAGGGGCCAGTGTGGAGTAGGCGTTGGCAACCAATAAAAGTTAAAGTTAAAAGATTTCATTTTAAATTATTTCAATTGCTACAAAATATTTAAAAACTTCTCATGAAACTACTGTTGCTGAGGAACATGATAATATAAATATATACAAAATATTTTAATTAAAATGGGAAGAAAAAGATTTCATTTTAAATTATTTCAATTGCTACAAAATATTTAAAAACTTCTCATGAAACTACTGTTGCTGAGGAACATGATAATATAAATATATACAAAATATTTTAATTAAAATGGGAAGAAAAAAAATGACCCTATCCCCAGTATAGATCCTCAAACCTTCCTATAGTCAAGCAACCACTCTACCACAAGACCAGACAAGATGTAATAAACCGTACTTCGTTTGGAATTATAAAAACTACTAGCCGTCCGGCCATGTCCGGCGGTCACGTCACAAGCCGCCGGACGTATATCTTGCGCACTACACGTCCGGCGCCACTTCGATTTATATATTTATAAATGCTGTTGTCAGCATTGTTTTACATTCTACCAACCGTATAGTTAAATTAAGCACACTTAATGGCAATTTTCGTTTCTACTGGATGCAAATTGAAATTATTTTCTTAAAGTTACAATGACATTGTCATCAGCTACCATGACCAAGAAATTCTTTTTTACAATTTCTTTTCCTTGTACAGTACAGTATAGTCAGAGTATAGCAATTATCTCTTTTATTTGTCTACCATTTTTTAAAGTTATGCTTTTCATATAAAACTTGCAAATGATAAAATAAAATTTATATTTAATAAATAATTTTATTAACACAAAAATTCAAGGGTAAGTAAGTAAGCTACCTGTGCTGGTTTCAGTTGCCTTAAAAGAAAATAACAGAGTTTCTGAAAGTTTGCTGGGTTTATTTAATAATTTTGCTGAATTCTGCAACAGCAATTTCATATGGTCAACACGCTTTTTCAAAGTACAGATAAGTCTCTTGAATTGCAATGAATGTGTAATTTGTTTATTTGGCCTACACACAACAAAACAATGAAGGTCTACTTTATTTTTATAAAAATTATGGTCATGGTGTTTTATTTGCCCAATCAACTTTTGACCATAATTTCTTATAATAATACTCCGCACATTTAATATTGGCATTGTGATTGTACTGATTGGTCTTGATTATTTAAAATTAAATTAGCTAGAATAATCAGGCCTATACATTTGAAACATATTCTCAGAAATAGAGGCACACTTGACTTTAACTTAAACGAAGAAGTAGAAGGGCCGGCTACTACACTCTATTTGTTGAGTAACCCATTCGCTACTTTCGTTTTTGTTGCAGTTTGCCTGTTAGTAGTTTTATAGTTTCGCAGCTTTGGTGTATCTGCATTTAAATTTAAACAACCCTTAAAACAAAGTTTTTCATATAAATCTTTTATATGCATTTTTGTTTGCATTTATGTAAGTGTACGCGATTTATTATTTATGTGATCGTAGCAACTGCATTTTGGTATAGGAATGTTTTGTTGTTTTTTAATCAAACTTAGTGCATGTAAAACCTAATAGACTAAAGATATACTTAAACTCTAATACGTCACAAATACAAAGCGACATAGTACATATTGCAAACAGCTACACAAATAATCTCCACACCAAAACACGCTCCAATTGAACAAATCCGATTTCAATAATCTTCCCCTTGAAAAACTGTAACAAAAGCAATAATAAAATTAATAGAAAGTATCTTTATAAAAGATAATAGCAACTAATTTCCTATTGTCACAATGTGAACGTTTGACACTTATTATCTTTCAAAAGGAACGGTTGAGGCGACAACACTAGACACATTTGTGTCTATTGCCTCAAGCCTTCAAACCCCCAGTGCATGATTCCCTCACAAAGTGGCACTGGAAATCTGTGAAATTTCCTCATCAACACCAGGAACAGAAACATTGCAAATCCCATCTACATGCATAGGAGCCAAAATGATCAATAAATTGATCGTGGGCCCTTAAGATATAGAAGAAGAAGAAGATTATTATTATTATGGATGTCACATTTGTTTTCCATTAATTTTTTTTTTTTACTTCAATAAATTTTCAAACAGATGCTGCATTATGAAGGGGGTAAAAATCCATTGTACTACAAAATTATTTAGTTTGCAGACCTATCATCATATAATAAATTATGACATTATGGGAAGAGACCAATTAAAGGAAATATACTCATTGCTACATTTTTACCATTAGAACTAGCAATAAACATTACAACACTATTTGCGCTTCATCGCAAGTGACTACAAAACCACCACTCCTGGCTTCGTCACTGACCTCTTTACAAGATTTGACATCCCCTCCCTCAAAGACAGACAAGAAAAGCTCCGTCTAACATTTCTCTATAAAGTGGTCCCGGGGCTAGTGCCGGCCATTTTAGCTAACACGTATCTAACCCCGCAGAAGCCAGGTCGCTTAATCAGAGCCAAACGCTCAATAAACACTGACTTCACCTCTGACAACTCCATGGGGAGTTACCTCCGGAACAATGATAAATGCTTCACTGTGCCTCGGTGTAACACAGTTCACTATAAACAATCGTTCTTCCCACGAACAATAATTGCTTGGAACCAACTGGACAATGCCGCTGTGGACTCGACATCAATCGAGAGTTTCAAGGCTGCCCTGGCACCCGCTGGGAGCCGTTAGGATAGCCTCATCGTTTCCCAAACCGTTGCACATGTGCCAGGACTTGGTTGCAGCAACGTAGTCTATCAGAATCATAGCTTGTCACAGTGGTAGTAGTAGTACCTATTGCATGATTTCCTCATCAACACCAGTAGCAGAAACATTGCAAATCCCATCTACATGCATAGGAGCCAAAATGATCAATAAATTGATCGTGGGCCCTTAAGATATAGAAGAAGATAGAAGATTAATACTCGAAGTTGTGAAATGTATCGTTGATTGGCTGATTGGGCCTTTCTTGAATCTCTGCCAATCCTCTCATTTAGCCTACAATTATTTATCATGATTTGTGTCTCTTAATTCATGTGAGAGGAGCTTTTCAAAATTGAAACGCATTAAGAATTGTTTGCGATCTACCATGGAACTTTCCAGGATTTCTGGTCTAGAGCTTTGTCAATTTTTCATTTTTAAATGCTGTTGAATAAAACTATGTCTTTTGTTGCTTGAGGACCTAATTAAAAAGCACTTGGATAATCGGTTCTGTATGATTTTACTTGGTGAATGTCTGGGTTAGGGGGAGGGAGTGGCACTAACTCTAATGACACCTCTGGTACAAAAAAAAAAAAATGGAACAATATTGCAGATTTGAATTAAAACTATTTCCCCGACAAAATTAAATTCTTTGCAAAGAACCTATGATACAAGTGCCATGTTTAAAAATAAAGGCCCTAAGAAGTAGACAATGGTGGAATTTTGTTGATTTATAATGTTTATTTTTCCCCAGATCCTTGGTTCTAGCCATCATGGAAGAAGTATATCCCTCTGTCCATGGTCATGGTAAATCGTTTAAAATAAAATCGTAATTGAGTTTTCATCATGCATAATTTACACAGCATTGCCCAGTATTAAACCTCTTTACTCTTAATCTAAATGATTAAATCAGAGCATGTAGCATACATCTGATTGCATGTTCTTAGAAACAAACAGGAGGTACACCCACAAATAAAGACAAATTTAATTAAGTTATAAAACGCAATAATTCACATTTTTCATTTATTATTTAATAACATGAATCATCATGAATTCAACAAAGGTTAGAAAATAGTGTTAAAAAAACTGAGCTACATAATGTAAAATTACATAGTCTAACATAATGTTAACTTTAAGAAAAAAAATTATTATAAATTAAAACATAATTGTTAAGAGGGTTGGACTGCAATAAGGCAGAAACCTTGTTCCATGCTTCAGATCATTTTTTTTCCCTCTTCTGAATATATTGTATGTTAAAGTGAACATGGTATTTATAAATATATTTTATTAACTGTATAATGTTTAAGCAGCCACAATTTAATTTGCCTTAAGGCATGACTCCTATACTCAGATACATTTTATCTTTCATTCGTGTCATTGAAAATATTTTGTCTTGCTATCATTTATTAAAATGTCATGGATAATAAAAAAATTCTTAATAGGAAGATCAGAAAAGTCTAAGATTGAATTAGTGAATTTCATTAGTTGCACTACTGATTATCTAAAGATTTCAATGTACATTATAATCAAATATGTACAACCGGCAATATTGTTATGCAGTGATATTGTAGTAAAATTGCAATGTGAGGTAGGTTTCTTGACACTAAATAAAACTAGTATCTAAGGGTTCCACTTTGATATCTTCCAAGTCTTGGCTGAGACTACCAAAACTGTCACTCTCTTTATGGCTGTGTGCCTCTAAGTTAGCCAAAGTAGACATTGTCATTCTGTCCTGCTGGGGTAGTCTAACCCACATTTGAGCCACTTTGGCTGCCATTGTTGAGGACTGCATCTCTTGAACACCAATTTTGTCTTTCAGTTTCTGGCTTACTTGGCGATAATAGAAGAAAAACCTGGTCAAATGATAACAGTTAATGGAGTGACATAAATAACAGAGTGGACAAATTAGTGAAATTATTTTTCCATTTAATCATTGACAGATTAGTGGATGGGGTGGATGCTTGTAAGCATGATAGACACCAGCATCATGAGATCAAGTATTAATGAAACAATGCCATGACTCATAGAGGACATTGTTACATCATAATGAAGATGAATTACCTACATACCCATCAAAATCAGAGCATTCAGCCACCTCTAAATAGTTCTCTTTGAGTGGGGTAGAAGTGTTTGAGTACAATTCATTATTCATATCAGTTAAATCGCTCAAATGTCTAGCATCTAATTCAGGAACAACATGACCATCATCAGACTCAGCGCTGTTGTTCTTTGAGGAAGATGGTTGATCATAAAATCTGAGAAGACATTAAAAAAAAAACTTAAAAGCTGTCAAATGGTCTCTTAAGTTTTTAACCCTTCGGAATGCAATCAGAGTAGGTGTTTTACTGGTTATAGGTCTGCCAAAAGGAAATAATGGTCAATAATTAGTTTGTTCCTATAATTAGTGTCAGGAATATTTTTTTCCCTGAATGCTGATTTTTTAGATTTCTTAGCCTTAAGTCTTTGCCTAAAAAAATATCTTTTTTGAGTTCCTTTCCCCAAAAGTAGTCATCTCTCGTACAAAGTCTCAGCAACCAAAATAAAATTTGATGAGCAAAAGCAGGATTTAGGATGGGAAGAATAATGTAAATGTTTGCTGTGGCATCAAGTAGGTTTTTAATGAACATACAAAGGTAATGATTATTATTCTAAAGATTTTTAGGACCAGGAAATTTTATTTAAATAGAAGCAATTGAAAGCTTTAACAGGTGAATTTAAATTGGCTACCTTTCCAGCCTCCTACGACACTTGGGTTGTCCTTTATTGCCACAGGTGGGTGAGACAAATGATCTGTCATGAGATACAATGCTGATGTTATCAATTATGGAGACTGAGAAAAATGAAGTTTGAAATTTCAGTATTAAACACTTAAACCAAATTCCCTAAACCCAGAAATTGAAACTTTTTGTGACATCTAATAAGCTAAAGTAAACTCTACAGTGGCATAAAATTTTGACTCCTTACGATTTCCTTTTGCAAGAACCTCCAGGCTCAGAAATGTCCTTTCCGCCGTGATGGGATGGAGTTCTGCAATAAAAATGGTAAATACAGAAATATGGTCCAATAATGTACATCAAATTTTATTGGATAAATATGTTGATTTCAGAAGGGAAACTTGCTTGGAGCAAAACTTGTATAGGTGGCTTACGTTTCATTGCTCAGACCATCATCAAGCTCCATTGCATCAATAGTTTCCCAGCACAAAAGATTGTCCTCCAGATAATCAGATGAATGGAAGCCCTAGGTATAAAGAATATTTTGTAAAAAATGTAAGGCATAAAAATGTTCAATTCAATAAAAAAAACCCATTTCATTACATGTATACTAGTAAAAAATAATAATTCTAGGTAACAATTATTTTCTTTGTCGTTTATTATGTGTATTTGAAAATATAAACCAAAGGCTGTGAGAACTGGGGGAGAAATAGGACTGGAAATGATATTGTTTGAAATTACCCGTGAACCTGTTTTTGAATCAAATGGAGAGCTGAGAACTTTCCAAGGAGAGACAAGGGAATCCAATGCACTAATTTCTTCTGAGTTCTGACCCACGTCATCTGGTAATTTAATAGGTGTGAAGCCTGATTTTGAAGGTGAAGAACGAACAGATCGTTCAGGACTCAATAAGCGAGGGACAAAAATGTTTGTGGCTGAATAAGGAGGACAGTTGAAATTCAGCTGTGAATAGAAGAATATTATTGTTACTCATGAATACAGTGCAATAATTCAAAAAAAGAAAAAAACTCACATAAATCCAAACTCTTATTCAGGTTTTCAAAATAAAAATAAATTATTAAGTGCAAATGAAGCTTTATTAAAGACTTTCTTTCTACTCCAATTTCTATCTTGTGGAGGTTAATTTTTATGTTGACGCATGTGACCTCTTATTTTGGTCGATTCAGTGTTCCTCATGCATCTGAGTTGATGACAGTTTTACAGCTCCAGTATGCTGGGTTGAGGGAGGGGTTTGGGGTGTGACCAGTGGGGAGATAAGAGAAAGTGATTTAAAAAACAATAACCCTTCCCATTCGCTTACAATTACTGTTGGTCGTAACTCTTGGATTTCAGGATGGGGGAAGGTGTTCGGGCAGGCCACTTCGGCAATTTTACTCTGGTCAACAGACGGTAACCTTTCAATAAAATTTTACTTTTTAGTTTTATGCCTGGGTAAAGAGCTAAGTCACTTTGCTGGAATTTTGTAAGATTTAATCAAATTTTTTTTATTCTTTTTGTGGCAGTGTATGCCCCAACCCACTATTTGACCCGTTACGTAAACCATGTCTGGCGCCCAACTCAAGGCTGCGCGGTGTGTAGTAGCACTGGCGCGGTGCGTAACAGGTATCCCTTTTCACCTTCCCCCCCCCCTCCCCCCGGACGGTCACTATACGACCGGCGCATAGGGAGGAAATAATAAAATACCACGATGTGCGCATTGGTTAGAAATTCAATAATTTATTTATCAGGAACCCTAGCGTATTAAGTTATACATTACATCTAGTTAAGACGGGGATTTTATTCACTATACCTTAGCATATTTACAAGTTTCCATCGTTGGAGGATATTTTAATATTTAGTCATTAAAGGAGTTTT